TGGACATCGTGCGGATCTACTCTGACTGTCAGTCTGGTCTAGGAGAAGGACATCATGCCGATCTACTGTATTTATCACTCATGTCTAGGAGAGGGACATCATTCCGATCTACTGTTATTATCAATCTGGTATAAGAGAGGGACATCGTGCCGATCAACTGTATTTATCAGTCTGGTCTAGGAGAAGGACATCGTGCTGATCTACTGTATTTATCAGTCTGGTGTATGAGAAAGACATCGTGCAGTTCTACTGTATTGATCAGTCTGGTCTAGGAGGGGGACATCATGCCGACCTACTTTATTGATCAGTCTGGTGTAGGAGGAGAACATCAGGCCGATTAACTGTATGTATCAGTCTGGTCTAGGAGAAGGACAACGTGCCGATCTACTGTATTTATTAGTCTATTGTAGGAGAGGGACATCGTGCCGATCTAATGTATTTATCAGTCTGGTCTAGGATTGGGCATCGTTCCAATCTACTGTATTTATCAGTCTGATCTAGGAGAGGGCAATTGTGCCGATCTACTGTATTTATAAGTCATGTCTAGGATAGGGACACCGTGCCGATCTACTGTATTATCAGTTTGCTCTAGGAGGACATCGTGCCGATCTACTGTATTTATCAGTCTGATCTAGAAGAGTGACATCGTGCCGATCTACTGTATTTATCAGTCTGGTCTAGGAGAGCGACATCGTGCCGATTTACTCTGATTATCAAATTGGTCTAGGAGATGGCCATCGTGCCGATCTACTGTATAAATCAGTCTGGTCAAGGAGAAGGACATTGTGCCGATTTACTGTATTTATCAGTCTGGTCTAGGAGAAGGACATCGTGCCGATCTACTCTGACTATCAGTCTGGTCTAGGAGAGGGACATCGTGTCAATCATCTATATTTATCAGTCTGGTCTAGGAGAGGGCCATTGTGCCGATTAACTGTATTTATCAGTCTGGTCTAGAAGAAGGACATCGTGCCGATAACCTGTATTTATTAGTCTCATCTACGAGAGGGACATCGTTCCGATCTACTGTATTTATCATTTTTGTCTAGAAGAGTGACATCGTGCCGATCTACTGTATTTATCAGTCAGGTCTAGGAGAGGGATATTGTAAAAGTTCATTTGAGATATTTTAATTTCTTCATGTAAAATATTTAAAATGGTATTTTTATAACTTCATTACGAATATTTTTCACTTGCTCTTTTTCACGAAGAGTTTTTAAAGTTCCTACTGACGCACAGATACAACAAATTTTTAAATGTTTACACATATACGAGTATATTCAAAATTTTATTGAATTTGAGGCCCGGTCTAGTAGTTTAGTTACAATATATATTATTTGTGTATGATATAATGAAGTATGATAAAGGTGGTGATATGGGAGTAAATGAATGATGGATGGACAAGACAGAATAAATTTATAGGAAAACACATTATTGTATTGGTTATAAAATAGTAATATATAATATTGTAAGATGTATTTAATATTAACCTTTTACCCAATGAGCATATTGTAAAAAATGGTCGTTTTCATTGAAAAGCCCTCAATAAATTGAGATTGAAGCAAGGGCTTTTCAGCCCCTGATGTAACATTTGGATTGGTGGCGGCGCCGAAAAAGTGGTCACTTTTTTAACACATTTTTCAAACAATCAAAAAAGTGTTTGGGGCTTAAATAGGGCATTTTTTTCTCTGTTTGAAGCGGCAAAAAGCAGTCAAAAAACGTCTATATATATATGCGGAAAAAGTTTGACAAATAGGCCTCTTGCATATATTTCTATATACAATATTTAACCTATTCCTTTTTCTTAAACTTTTCAATGAGAACGAGAACTGTTTATAACTTTATTTGAAATATCTAACTAAAACTTTATTATTATTTATTAAAGCATTTTAGCAAGTATTTTTCAAGTAATTCATTTTTTGTATAAAGTAATTAAATTATACCTAAACAAGTACTTTTCAGAACTTCCTATTACTTCAAATGAATTATTAAAATAATTGTTTTTCGGAACTTCAAATAAACTTCATATAAAATATTCAAATGTTTGCTTTTAACTTCTTATATAGAGGATTTTGAATGAGTACAAGTTCAATACTTAATTTTTGAACAATTGATTAAAATATATTATGGGAGCCTCTGGATCAATGAAAGACCATTCGCTTGTAAAGCCAACAAAAAAGTTTTGGTTGTCAAGAAGGTACCCCGGACATGACACCAGTCATGCCCTTTAAGAGTTAATTCTAATTTCAAAGTAGTGATAGTAATTTCAGTAGAGTATTAGCCAAGAAATGATTTTTAGCCGGAAGAAGGTCACTGTTCAGCGGTGAATGACCACCTGAACGTATAGCAAGCTGTGACAATAATGATAGGGATAAGTCCTGATAGGGTCTTACGTTGCAATGGTGCCGCCATAAAAGCCGTCTTCCTCGTCGGTCTTCCCTATATTTTGCACGGCCACTCCCCTCGGCTACAGTCAGACTTTACACCCCAGTTACACAGAGCCATCGGTGATTGATCGGTAGTTTTTTGAGCAAAATTATGGAGTAAACCGATGCCAACGTATCTAACACCGATATCACCTATTGGTCACCTGTTTCCCACCTATCAACTGCTTTTGGGGAAAGATAAGTTTCATCGGTGAAAAATTACCGATTGGAATTTTTAAACATGTTTAAAATTCTAGATCGATGAAAATATTTTACAAATAACCGACAGCAACCGATATCACGAGATATGCAAACTCTTAGGGGCCAGTTACACAGACGGTCTGTCCCCAATCGGTGATACGATTTTAAATTTACTCGCTGTTATGATCGGTTGTCATGCGTGATTTTATTTCTGGTTTTCTGTGTAAACGACCATCGTAGGCAGAAAGCAAACTCAAACGGGGTTGGATCGGTTATAAAACTGCTGAAATAAATCGGTTTTTATCGTTTGTAAATCGGAGCTAAATCGGGCGTAACGCTGATTAATCGGTGGTTGATAGCTAGTCATCAGTGGTTAAACCCTTTCCGTCAGATATGGCCGGTGATTCACATTTAGTCATCTTTGTCCGATCGGCGATATCGGTGATTAAGAGCTTGCATATCTCGTTATATCGGTTGCTGTCGGTTATTTGTAAAATATTTTCACCGATCTAGAATTTTAAACATGTTTAAAAATTCCAATCGGTAATTTTTCACCGATGAAACTTATCTTTCCCCAATAGCAGTTGATAGGTGGGAAACAGGTGACCAATAGGTGATATCGGTGTTAAATACGTTGTCATCGGTTCACTCCATAATTTGGCTCAAAAAACTACCGATCAATCACCGATGGCTCTGTGTAACTGGGGTGTTAGGGCCCAGTTACACAGACGGTCGGTCCCCAATCGGTCATTTAATTTTAAATTTACTCGCTGTTATGATCGGTTGTCATGCGTGATTTTATTTCTGGTTTTCTGTGAAAACGGCCATCGGTGACAGAAAGCAAACTCAAACGGGAATGAGTCGATGATTAAATGCTGAAATACTTTTGGTTTTTATCGTTTGTAAATCGGAGCTAAATCGGGCGTAACGCTGATTAATCGGTGTTTGATAGCTAGTCATCAGTGGTTAAACACTTTCCGTCAGATATGGCCGGTGATTCATATTTGGTTATCTTTGTCCGATCGGTGATATCGGTGATTAATGGCTTGCATATCTCAAGATATAGGTTGCCGTCGGTAATTTTTAAAATATTTTCACCGATCGAGAATTTTAAACGTGTTTAAAAATCCCAATCGGTAATTTTTCACCGATGAAACTTATCTTTCCCCAATAGCAGTTGATAGGTGGAAAACAGGTGACCAATAGGTGATATCGGTGATCAATACGTTGTCATCGGTTCACTCCATAATTTGGCTAAAAAACTACCGATCAATCACCGATGGCTCTGTGTAACTGGGGTGTTAATCACCGATATCGCCGATCAAACAAAGATGACCAAATATCAATCACCGGCCATATCTGACGGAAAGGATTTAACCACTGATGTTTAGCTTTCAACCACCGATTAATCAGCGTTACGCCCGATTTAGCTCCGATTTACAAACGATAAAAACCGATTTATTTCAGCAGTTTTATAACCGATCCAACCCCGTTTGAGTTTGCTTTCTGCCACCGATGGCCGTTTACACAGAAAACCAGAAATAAAATCACGCATGACAACCGATCATAACAGCGAGTAAATTTAAAATCGTATCACCGATTGGGGACCGACCGTCTGTGTAACTTGCCCCTAATTTTATACAACTAACCTCATGTCGCCTTAAAGCTGAAGAGGAACATGCGAACTTGCCGTCTATCACGTAGCAGTGAATCTACAATCTGCTGAAGATGCCCTGTGCTGTCCACGAGGTGCAGAGGAAAAGGAGGATTTTGCTTTCTTAACATTTTTGGCCGGGTTGCACTGGTGCAAGCGGGGAAGAGTATGTTGAATATCGGGCGGCGGGCGGTCAGGCTGGCGGGGAAATAGTTTCGTTACAGTTTTCTCAGAAACTTCTTATCAAAACTTCTTGATATTTGGCATACAGCAGTGAGACATGATCCTATACCTTGGGATTTAATTTCAGGTCTGTAGCTATCAACTTCCTGTTTACCCACTTAATGGTCAACGAAAAGTTTTTGTTCGTAACATCACAGCCTCGTGATATTTGGTTGCAAATGCCACTCGTCCTTTTCTGTCTTTGACCCATTCTTTAATATTAGTTAAGTTTGGGAAAAAATGGTATATCAGCATTTGTAGCTTTCTTAGATATTCTTTGTTTATTTTAGATTTTATCGATGGTAAATTTTTAATTGAGAACAGTATTTAGACTGTATTAAACACTTCACCTAATGCATGTGTGCGTTTTTTGCAGGAAACTTATTCAACAACAAACGCGAAACAAGTTCAAATTAAAAAAACAACCCTTACTGACAATTAACGTCCTTGTCTACGGATATATTAGATGCATTTCCGCCCAAAGTTTATTCTGTCGCCCGCGCTTCAGTTATAAACAATATTTGTTTGTTTTTGTTTTTATAAATGCGACATTAAAACATTCACATATTTAAAAATGAAGCTTACTTATTTATTTATTACAACGCTAGTGTTTTACATTGTATTGATGGAAACTGTGGATGCATGGAGAGGGTAAGTGATATTTTTACTCTGACTGAAAGTCATCAGAAAACAGAATGTTCTCATAAACATACATTAGATGTGCAATATGAACCTCGTGAAAAAAGATGTTTGGAATTATAAATTAATTAAGATTCTCATGGTATAATAAGTCGCTTCTATTATAATGATATTAAATGGCCTTATTCTCGTTTTGATATAAAAAAAACAACATGGTAATGAAAATGACTGATATGCTAAATCTACATTATGTTATAATGTATTCTTATTCTTAGGCTTCAGAGTGAAACACATAAATCATACATCTAAGGTAATAACTCAGGTGTTGAATAAATCATATCATCTCTATTTTGGTCGAACAAAATTTGCCCCGAAAACATACATTGTTATTTTTTTAAAGTAAATTAAGATAATTTACCGAAAGGAAGCGCCTGCTTTCCAAAGTAGGATTTCGATGAAAAGAAGAAGAAAAAAACATATTATTTGTAAATAAAAGTAAGCTCTTACAAAAGTCTTCAGTAAAATACTCATCTTAAACAGTAGAAGAAGAGAAAAGATCAATATGAACTAATATTACTAACTTAAAAAAACATTAAAACATTACAAACTATTGTATAAGGGGGGTCAATATTCTCTTCCGTAAGAATGAGAATCGAAGTCGGTGAAAATGAACCTAAGATAAAATCTACATAACTAGTAACATTATAAATAACAAAAAGTTAGTTTCAGCATATCAGTCATTTTTATTTACGTGATTTTTAAATCAAAAAGAAAAGGGCCATTGAATTTTATCATAATAGAAGCGATTTATTATAACAAGAGAATCTAAAGAATTTTAGAATTTCATACAATTTTTTTTCAGGACTTTCATATGATAAAGGCTAAAGTGCACATTTATTGTATGTTGTGAAAAACATTCTGTTCTCTTAAATTTCCAACTATCATTGAAGAAACTATGCATATTTGTGATAAATGGTGTATAATTACAGATAAAGTTTTTAAGATCTACCTTATATATCATATACTCTGTTATTTTTTGAAAAAGCTATGTATTAAACATATACAAAGGTTTTTTTTTCTTTCTTTAAGGCATATAAAATATATAAAGGGGTCAGTATATTCTTGAAATTAAATCCCGCTGAAAAGACAGCAATAGCAATATTTTCACAAGCGCATGTTATAGGGATTGCAGATTCACATGCATACTTTATGCATTCTATTATTCAAATAAGACATGTTCAGTAAGAATTTCATATCTTCAGTAAGAATATTTTACCCACAGATGAGCATTGTATATCTATATCTTTAAATCTTATAATAAAATTTCCAAGAATCATCGTAGAAACTATGCATATTTGTGATTTTATTGTTAAACTCTTTGAGATCTACTAAATATATCATTTAACGTGCCAATGTTTTGAATATGTATTATTCAAAGGCTTTTTTCTCTTTAAGGCATATGAAATATATAAGGGAGTCAGTATACTTTTCCGTATGTCGTTAAACTACCCTGTGAAACACATAAAACATACATCTTAGCTAAAAACTAAGGTATATACGGAATACCGTTAAAGCCATCGTGGTTATATTTTCTAATCAAGAGGGCGACAATACGACATTGCGATAGTGCAAAGACGACAATACGATAGTGCGGTGACGACAGTGCGATATTACGCTGGCGACAATATGATAGTTCGATAATAATATCGCTTTGTCGCTCGCAATCGCACTGTCGATTATAACGGAATACCGATAGGGCCATCGTGGTCACACTTTCTTATCCAGAGGGCGGCAATGACGACAGTACGATAATGCGATAGTTCGATGGTGACAATGCGATAATGCGATGGCGACAGTGCGATAACGCGATGACGACATTGCGATAATGCGATGGCGACAGTACGATAGTGCGATAATACTATCCTACTGTCGCCATCGCACTATCGCATTGTCGTCATCGCACTATCGCATTGTCGTCATTGCGTTATCGCACTATCGCCATCGCACTATCGTATTGTCGTCATCGCGTTATCGCATTATTGACTATCACTTCCGGTGGACAATTATAAACTGCTGACGGTATAGAATTTGGGGGTTAAAATTTACTTTTGTCAATAGATTATTTTTTTCTTGTTTTGTTTTTTTCTTTCTTTCCTTTGTCATTGTTTTTGTTTTTTTGTATACTGAAAACGTCTAAAATAAAATTATAAATTAATAAAAAGTAACATTCTACATCAAAAGATAGGGGACAATTATTGCCAAAATCGATACTTTAATTGAATTAAATTCTTAGATAGGGGAAATAATTATATAAAATACACGAAAATGTAATAAACTGTGTGAAACTTGAAAATAAATCGAAATAATTCAAATGAAAGTGATGTTATGTTGACATTTAAAAGATGCAAAAATAATTAATGCGTCAGTAGTACATAGAGGATATTCAAGTTTTTTTTCCTATAAATACAGGATTTATTTTAATCGAATGGTATGAAAATAAATATTTCATGAGTTGTGCTATTATTATATACATGTATTTTTCTCTATTTTTGACATTACTGATACAATTTGATAGTGTTAGCCTTAAATGTTGTATATCGGCTGAATCTAGAAGAAAGTTGTCGGTCAAGACACAAGTGAAAATACGGAAAATATGTTTCACTGCAGTCAAGAACAAGTTTTACAGTGTAAATAAAAATACCCATTTCAATTCTAAGTCATAAGTTTTGTATATAATTCTAAATATAGTTTATAATAAATCTAACTTGTCAGCTTTGTTTAATATAAAAAATACTGCTTTTTCTATTATATTTTTGAATGTTCATCAGTGGTTTTATTGTTTTGTAGGATGTAGAATTTATTATATATACTAACAGTGTGAAACAATAAGAAATGTATGTTAAACTTAATTTTCTCTGTTTATTTATACTAGTGGTCAGCAATTTTCACTAGAAGTTTAACTGTAAGTCAGCAATTTCTTCTATATGTTTGACTGGTGTGCAGATTCTACTTATGCTTAAGTGGTCAGCAGTTTTTCGCATGACGTTAAATCTTCTGACCATATAGAATAAGAAGAAATACTGTAAAAACCACACAACCAATTTTTTTTTTTTTTTTTTTTTTTTTTTTTTTTTTTGGTTTCTCAGCAGTGGTTTGATTGGTTTGCGAAATGTAGAATCTAATATATTTATTAACATCATGCTGGCAAAGTAGCATCTTTCGCTACATATCTAACTGGTCAACTGTTTTCCCTGTAAGTGTTACTAGTCAACATATTTTACCATATGTTTACCTTTTACCTCATATAGACTTTTCAACTTCCCTTTTGATGCCTCAAATAGTGAAAACCATGCGCTTTTTATCAGATACATTGGGTGCAAGAGAGAGGGGTATCGTGTAACCAACGCTGAAAGCCCATCACTCTATCCCGACCCATCGGGAAGTTGCAGCTTTGATGGAAAAAATTAACGCCACATAGTGATTTTGAAATGTCCCCTCGTTGTCATGGTAACAGGAAATAAAGATACAAATGTTATGGCTCAGTAAACATTTGTGCCAAGTTTGATCAGTATTTTTATAGTTTCATAGTTGATTGATTGATTGATTTGGTTTTACGTCGCACCGACACAGTATAGGTCATATGGCGACATTCCAGCTTTACTGGTGGAGGAAGACCTCAGGTGCCCCTCCGTGCATTATTTCAAAAGGGTACCTGAGTAGAACCATCGGCGTTATTTGAACTTGTGTACAATGAAAACAGCCATTTTTCACAAAATGTTTATGCGGTAATGGGTTAACTGGTCAGCAGTTTCTAATATACATGTGTACCTGTGTACCTAAAGCACCGACCGTTCAGTCTGCTGACCATATAGTATAAGAAGAAAATAAGGCATAAGCCATAAACCAATTTTTTACTAACATTGCAAAGTAAATTAGAACTTCACTGCAAATAAAATTTTCCTCTGTTCATAAGCAGTTTCTCAAGGTTGAGCTAAAATCACTTTGACTATATATAAAACAAGTGGACACAGAAATCTAGTATATGTGTAATGTTTTTGTTTTTTTAATCATATCTATTTACTATCCTTCAGAAATATAAAAGCTCTATGTTCACCAAGCACCGAAAAATGGCTCCATCTATGATATTGATAAAAATCTAAATGAGCGTCAATTTGATATGTAGTTGGTAGTTGGATGAATTACCTGCTAGCTGGTAGTTGGTTATTTTTAATTTCCCACTACCTTCTGGCAGGTAGTTGGTAATTGGAATTTTGCATTTTTCCCTTAAAAAAAACCAACAACAACAGCAACAACAACAACAAAAATAAACAGTAAGAATTTTTGCGGATTAAATTGTCATCGCGTCATCACATTGTCGTCATCGTACTTCCGTATTGTCGCCATCACGTTATCGAATTTTCGACTATCGCCTTCCGGTGGACAATTATCAACTGCTGACAAATGAGCTGACGGTATAGAATATATTCCTCCACTACCGACCCAAAAAGTAGTTGGTAATTCGAAAATTTGCATGTTTTCTCTTAGAACAAACAAACAAACAAACAAAAGCAAAACAACTAAGTATTTTTACCGGAATAAATAAAATGGATACACGATAAAATGATAGATGTGTTTTTTTCAACATTGAAATACATTGTCTCACTATGTCCATCAGCGGAATCTGTTGGCTATAGTACAATATGCTGACCAGTTAAACTTATAGTAAAATCTACTGTTAAGTTAAACTTATAGTGAAAATTGCTGACCTCTTATGTTAGATTATATAAAAAAAAGGGTGTTGACGTAAATTTCTTATTATCCTTTTTTTTTACTTTGTAAGTTATATGATACATTTTACATCTTACAAAACAATAAAAACATTGATGACTTATGATAATATCTTAAGTGATTTTAGCAGTATTTTTATAGTGACCAGTGCTGACCAGTTAGATTTATAAATAATGAACTTTCTTTGTATTTGTTGAGAAAACTTATGTATAACTAACCAATTTTATATATGGAATCTTTTTATTTTGTATTTTCTACAGACTGCTCAAATCTACATTATTGTCATTATCATTTTCCATTACATAATTTTGTTCTCATATTTTTGTAATATGATCTTGAAAAAAAAATATAAAAAGGAAAACAAAAACAAAAAGAAAAAAATATTTACAAATGTAAAATTATGTTCCCATATTCTATAGTCAGCAGTTCCGCCCACCTGAAGTCCGCCCACCTGAAGGCGATAGTCGACAATGCAATAACGCGATGGCGACAGTGCGACAATGCGATGGCGACAGTGCGATAATACGATGACGAGGGCACGCAATGCGATTGCGACAGTGCGATAACATTATCGCCCTTTCATTTTCGTACTATCGCGTTATCGCATTGTCGCCATCGCACTGTCGAATTGTCGTCATCACATTATCGTCTTGTCGTCATCGCACTGTCGGACTACCGCATTGTCGCCCTCTGCATTTTAACGTATAACAACGATGGCCCTAACGGTTATTCGTAGGTTTATGATAAATATACATTTATCATTATATTATCTCTACATCTGTTGAACAAATAATGCCCCGAAAACATACTTTTTTAAATTAAATATATGCGGTTTACCCCAAGGAAACGTCTGCTTTCCAAAGTAGAATTTCAATAAAAAGAAGAAAAAAACAGATTTCTTATAAATTAAAGTAAGTTTTTAAAGTTTAAAATACGTATATCTCTGGCAGTATAGTAGCCAAAGAAGAGAAAAGTTCAATATGAACTAAATGAATATGTTTTAAAAAAACATTACGAACTATGTTGTAATCTATATCGTCTTATTTTAAACATTGAATATAAATTATATGAGGGAGGGGGTGGATGGGGTCAGTATCTACGTGTAGCCCTTAATAGTGATCAAAATTTTAAGGTGTCATTGGTATGTAAACAGAAATGTTTAAATATATCATAATTATTGGTGGTAAATTTCTAATACAAATGATAACTTTTAAAAAATTCATATGATAAGTCATTGAAATAATGTTCATAAAAAAGTAAGAAGAAACAGTTTAGCAGATCGTGGATAAATATGGTAATGATATACAGTACCAATTTACAGATAAATTATGCTTCATTAAGTCAAAGAACAAAAAAAATCTTATAAATAGTAGAATATTTATCTATTTAGTCAACTAAAAAACGCGACACATTATAAGAAATACTCTTAAAGAGAATTTTGTAAGACCAAGCCTTCCGTTCTAATCCCTTTCTTGAAAATAAAAATGTTTGATTAATATTTAAAAATTATGTATATATCCGGGAATAAATGTGTTTAAACTTACTTTAAAAGAAATTATTGCCTTGACTACAAAAAAGTTCAATATATCAACTTTTAAATATGTTTCAGTATGAAATACTTTTAAATTTTTAATTTATATACAACAGCTAATTTCATAATCATTTGAGCCTACAGAATTAAAATAAATGTATATATGTAATATTTTACTAACAGAAATTTTAACAGAAATCTAATTTTGAAGTATATGTTTATATTGTGACATTCCAGGCATAAGAAACTAATGTTGGTACGTTTTGCTTTCACACTTAACCTAAAGATAGTTCTTCATTTGTTATAGGAATTATCAATCAGTACGGCGGAGTAGAAATATACGTCAGAGATACTGTGCATGCTGGTACTGGTGGTGGTAAGTCTTCGTTACTCACATTTTAAATGAACTATTTTAAATGTATTTAGTTTTCCTCAACAAAAAACACCATGCAATGCCTTTGTGATCGACGGTCAATGCCAAAAACATTTTAGTAAGTATGCTTGATCTAACTATTTCAAACATGTATTTTATATATTCTTGTGTAAATTAAACAAAAATTATATTAAAATTGTACAATTTACAGATTTTGTACGATACTTGTGTATTGTGCACTTTGTATATAAGGTATGGGGAAAGTCAGCCATTCATTACCTAAAAAGTTTATAGAAAAACATCGGCTCTAACACTGACCAATATTAAATTTTGTGCAAGTCACTGTAGCGACCAGAGCTGCGTTTCATAGACCTCAACACATTTTTTCTTTAGATTTCAATAATTTCATATTCCTGAGTGCCTTGAACTTTAAACTGTTAATGTTGATCTATGTTCCTATTCAAAGTTGATGAAGAAGTTATAACATAGAAGTAATTAATTAGGAAATATTTGTTGGTATTTATTAAAAAAGATTTAAGATACGGCTTTAAACGAGACACAATCATGTTTGACATACTTTATTTTTACAGGGGATGTTCATACTGGAGAGATTACTGGAGAACTGAATATTATTATGAATATATTTGTAGACCTGGATGGACACACAATGGGGATCAAAACTGTGATATACGTACGTGTTAAATGAATGATTGACAAGTATTTTTGCTAAAAATTGTTTCTCAACTAACATTTGTGTGTGAAATATAAAAAGATGTATTTTACTGAGACAAATGTATATTCTCTTATCACATAAACTACGACACAGGATTGAAACTAAGCCATGTAATAAAACAATTCTGGGATAGTTTAATTACTATTCAAATGTTGTTGACGCACTGTCAACAAACTAAACAAACTTTATAGATTGTAATACTGTTCAACTCAATCCTTAATCCAATTAGATATACTCTCCAATGCCTGTCAACAACAACTACGCGGCACATCATCGGAAAAAAGACGTCAAGTTCAACGTACTCCGAGTCAAAATATAGTTCATCTCTGCCTTTTTTCAAGTTGTTTTGTGATGATTCACTTATTGATTGATATATTTAGATTATTGCTTCGAGTCAATCAATTCTCAATCAATGAAAGAAATTTAAATAGATAAATTGTCAAAATACAATAAACGTATATATTTTATTTGCTCATTTTTTAAACATCATAACTACATGTAACTGACATTCTTGCGCTTTAAATTGTGTTAAGTACGACTAATTTATTAACATTGGCATTTTACAGCAGTGATTATCCAATTTATGTGATAGAAAGAATATTACATTCATGCGTTTCCATATTTGGAATTTATTAAACGAATACACACATCCTCGTATTTTATCACTAATTAAACACGTTTTTTTTAATATGAAAAAGTAAGGTCATGTTTCTTTAATGCATGTGTTTTATAGGGCACCATGAGGAAAATAATATTGAATAGCAGGATATGTAAAGCTAATGTTGACATGTTATTATTGTTGTTCTATTTAAAGCTGTATGTCGTCCGACGTGCCAGAATGGCGGAACTTGCACAAGTCCAAATGTCTGCCAGTGTCCTTCATGGTCTCAAGGAGTAGGATGCGCTTCATGTAAAATAATAAACAGATTATATATTTCATTTTAAGATATTAAGATATTGACTGTACATATAACGTATTTCACATCAAGGTATAAAATGTAATTGTTGTAATCTGTAACATTTATTGAAACCTGGATCATTGTAAATGAAACATTTCACTTTCTCTGATTGAATTTTATTTTGATAGAATGACGTTTTTTGGATACGAAAACGCTTTGTTTTCATGAAGGTTTAAAACATCAAATTTAATTTATGTTATTATTCTGAATGATTTATTTTTAACCATTTGTATATTAATGGAAATAAAACTATTAAGCAACACGGTTTGATAAAATCAAAATAAATATGAAAAGTCAAATGATTCAATGGAAAATATGAACTGTACATCAACTGTAAAGCTGTATAAAATAACGCGCATTATATAGAAAAAATTGACACTATTTTATAGTGTACCTGATTTTGTTAGTATTTTTTTTTAGAATGTGACATGTCGAATGTATGCAAATTAATATGATCTCTAACATTATTAATATATTTCAGTGACATGCTCTTATAAAAAGCCCTGTTACCCTGGAAATTGCACAAGTGGCACTTCTTGTACATGTGAACCTGGCTTCATAAAACAAAGAGAATCTGATGGTTGCATAGGATGTAAGTACCGTAAACAGATGATTACTACCTCGATGGTTGCTGTCAACAAATGTTAGTCGTCACTGTTATCTGCTTTGAGCAATACTGTAAATAAATGATAACTATTTTCATAAGCTTACTTCAGTAAGTAATATTATCAAATAATTATTGTCTCGAAGAACCCTGCTTCCAGCAATACTTTAAACAAATGATAAACACCTCCATAGATTGTACTCCTTATAACTCTGCAAACAAATGACAACCGTCCCGAGAGCAGTACTGAGAACAATTCAAAACGGTCTTCATGTTTGCTGCTTCAGTTAGTTCATAATAAAATTATAACCGGTCTCCATGCATTCTGCTTTCAACACCTTATACTGGACTATTTCAAAAAGAGGGTGGGTAGTTATTATGAATAGAAACATTTCAAATGATCAGATGAAATGTGGTTGTAAGTAACATAATGCATAACTATTCCTTTCCCAATCACAAACCCCGTTCATAAAAATGTAATGTATGTTTTTTTAAGCGCAACAACAGGTGATTTAAATTAGTGATGGCTGCATGTTTTCATTGTTTTGTATGTGAGAAGTTAGCAGTTAACAGTGAGCTAAGAAAAAAGGCATTACGATTTATATAGGGAAATCAATGATCTGCTTGCTCAGCTGAGTAAGCAATCTAGCAGGGCATTCCAAAGTAAAGTGTAGAAATGCTTTGTTGGTATGCTCAGCTGGCTAAGCAATCTAGCAGGCCATTCCAAAATATAGTGTAAAAATGCTCTACTGGTATGCTCAGCTGGCTAAGCAATCTAGCGGGGCATACAAAAATATAGCGTAAAATGCTCTGCCGGTATGCTCAGATGGCTAAGCAATCAAGCGGGGCATTCCAAATATAGTGCACAAAATGATCTGCTGGTTTGCTCAGCTGGCTAGGCAATCTAGCAGGGCATTCTTAAATAAAGTGTAAAAATACTCTGTTGTTTTACTAAGCTTGCTAAGCCATCTATCGGGGCATTCCAAAATATAGTGTAAAAAGCTCTGCTGTTATGCTCAGCTGGCTATGCAATCTAGCGGGGCATTCCAAAATAAAGTGTAATAATGCTCTGCTGCTATGCTCAGCTGACTAAGCAATCCAGCGGGGCATTCCAAAATAAAGTGTTAAAATGCTCGGCTGTTATGCTCAGCTGGCTAAGCAATCTAGCAGAGCATTCCAAAATACAATGTAAAAATGCTCTGCTGTTATGCTCAGCTGGCTAAGCAATCAAGCGGGGCTTCCGAAAATATAGTGTAAACATGATCTGCTGGTATCCTCAGCTGGCTTGGCAATCTAGCAGGGCATTCCTAAATATAGTGTAAAAATGCTTAGCTGTTATGCTCAGCTGACTAAGCAATCCAGCTGGACATTCCAAAATATAGTGTAAAAATGATCTGCTGTTATGCTCAGCTGGTTGGGCAATCTAGCAGGGCATTCCTAAACATAGTGTTGAAAATGCTCAGCTGGCTAGACAATCCAGCAGAGCGTTACTAAATATAATGTATAAATGCTCTGCTGGTATGCTTATCTGGCTAAGCAATCTAGCAGGGCATTCCTAAATATAGTGTTAAAAATGCTCAGCTGGCTAGGTAATCCAGCGAAGCATTCTGAAAATTAGTGTAAAAATGTTCTGCCGGAATGCTGAGCTGGAAGGGCATTCTTAAATAAAGTATAAATTTCATTGGTCTGCAACTGATTTTTTGGCACTCGTAGACTTTCTGAAATATTTTGTGCCAATGCAGATAATGGCATTTTTGACTTCTACGGGACCCTCAAGTGACTTTTGTTTTGGTCTCCGACAGATTCTGGGACGATCGCAGCTTTCAGGAATTTTTGGTATTAATGCAGATAATAACATTTGTGAATTTTTAGGACCATTCAGAGTCTATTTCGTTGGTCTGCGAATGTTTTTGGAACATTCGCAGATTTTCAGAAATTTTCGGTGCCAATGGAGATAATGACATTTTTACTTCAAAAGAACAATTTTTGAGTCTATTTCTTTGGTCTGCGACTGATTCTGAGTCACTCGCAGACTTTCAGGAATTTTGGTGTCAATGCAGAAAGTGATATTTCTGACTTTTTGGGAACTTCCTGAACTCATTTTTTTTAGTCTGCTAGTGATTCTGAAGTACTCACAGACTTTCAGGAATTTTCGATGTCAAGGCAAATAATGATATCTTTCACTTTAAGGGACCATCCAGGGTCCATTTTTTTGGTCTGCGACTTATTCTTGGACAGTCATAGACTTTCAGGAAATTTTTGGTGCCAATAGCGAGAATTACAATTTTAACATTTTTGACCATCCAGAGTCTATTTCGTTGGTTTGCGACTTATTATTTTGCACTTGCAGACTTTCAGGATTTTTTGGTGCTAATGCAGATAATGATATTTTAGAGTAAAAATGCTCTGCTTATGACTAAGGGGTCCTTAAAAGTAAAAAATGTCATGATCTGATATGGCACTTAATATCCTGAAAGTCTGCGAGTCTCAAAGAATCAGGTGCAGACCCAAGAAATGTATTCTGGCGGGTCCCTAGAGGTCAGAAATGTCATCATCTCCATTGGCATCAAAATTCCTGTAAGCCTGCAATCGTCCAAAATCATTCGCAGACCAGCGAAATGAACTCTGGTAGGTCGCAGGAAGTCAAAAATGTCATTACCTCCATTGGCACCACAGATTCCTGAAAGTCTCCGAATGTCCCAGAATCAGTCACAGACCATAAAAATGGACTCTGGCGGGTCCCTAGAAGTAAAAATTGCCATCATCTCTATTGTCACCAAATTTTCCTGAAAGTCTGAGAGTGTCCAACAATACGCTGCAGGCCAATGAAATAGACTCTAAAAGGTCCCTAGAAGTCAAAAAAAAATGATTAATTCCATTTGCACCAACCATTCCTGAAAGTCTGCGAGTGTCCGAGAATCAGTTGCAGACCAACAAAATGGACTCTGGCGGGTCCCAAGAAGTCTAAATTGTCAATATCAACATTGGCACCAAAATTCCTGAAAGTCTGCGAGTGTCCATCAGAAATTCACAGGACAATGAAATAGCCTCTTAATGGTCCTAAGAAGTCAAAAATATCATTATTCTATTGGCACCAAAAATTCTGAAAGTCTGCGAGTGCTTCAGAAGTGCCTAGAAGTCGAAAATGTCAATAAAGCGTTGGCAATAATAAATCCTGGAAATCAGAATCAGTCTGCCAGCTGAGCATTCCAGCAGAGGTCTTTAATACTATAATTCAGAATGCACCGCAAGATTGCTTATCCAACACAGCATTTTCACACTATTTTTCAGATGTTCTGCTAGGTTGCCTAGCCAGCTTGCTTTGCAGCAGAGCATTTTTACACTATTTTTAGTAATGCTCTGCTAGATTGCCAAGACAGCTAAGTATTGCAGCAGAGCAATTTTACACTTTATTTAGGAATGCCTTGTTAGATTGCCTAGCCAGCTTAGCGTTCCACCAGGGCATTTTTTCACTATATTAAGGAATGCTCTGCTTTAGTGCCTAGCCAGCTGAGCATTCCTGCGGAGCATTTTAATCCTATATTTAGTAATTCCCTGCTTGATTGCCTAGCCAACATAGCATTCCAGCAGAGCATTTTACACTATATTTAGTAACGCCCTGCTATATTGCCTAGCTAGCTTCTTAGCATTCTAAAGAGCATTTATTCACCATAGTTGGTAACGCACTGCTAGATTGCCTAGCAAGCTTAGCATTCCAGCAGAGCATTTTAACACTTTATTAAGGAATGCCCTGCTAGATTGCCTAGCCAGCTAAGCATTCCAGCAGAGAATTTTTACCCTATATTTAGTAATGCACTGCTAGATTGCCTAGCCAGCTGAGTATTCCAGCAGAGCATTTTAACACTTTATTAAGGAATGCCCTGCTAGATTGCCTAGCCAGCTTACCTTTGCAGCAGAGCATTTTTACCCTATATTTAGTATTCACTGCTAGATTGCCAAGCCAGCTGAGCATTCCACCAGAGCATTTTTTTCACTTTATTAAGGTATGCTCTGCTATAGTGCCTAGCCAGCTGAGCATTCCTGCAGAGTATTTTAACACTATATTTAGTAATGCCCTGCTTGATTGCCAATACAGCTGAGTATTGCAGTAGAGCAATGTTACACTTTATTTACGAATGCCCTGCTAGATTGCTTAGCATTCCAGCAGAGCATTTTTACACTATATTAAGATATGCCCTGCTAGATTGCCTACCAAGCTGAGCATTCCAGCAGAGCATTTTAACACAGTCACTATATTTAGGAATGCCTTGCTATATTGCCTAGCCAGCTGAGCGTTCCAGCAGATCATTTTTTCACTAAAGCTAGGAATGCTCTGCTAGATTGCCAAGACAGCTGAGTATTGCAGCAGAGCATTGTTACACTATATTTAAGGATGCCCCGCTAGCATAGGAAAGCATTTCTACACTTTATTTGGAATGCTCTGAAATATTGCTTACCCAGCTGAGCATAACAGCAGATCATTGACTCTCCTATATAAATTGAAATGCTTTTTTGCTGACCTCACTGTTCAATGCTAACTTTTCACATACCAATGTTTTGTTGTTTATCACTAATGATTAAATCTTCAATGCCACGCGACTAATATTTATTTGCATTTTATACAATTGAGATGAACAGATTAAGAGGAACAAATATTGAATTTGAGGTTTGAAATAAGGACCTATAAGTCACCTAAACAGAAGATTATAATCTGAGCATGTATTTTATTCTTAACATGTAATTAACATAAAAGTAAATTCATATTGATACATGCAATGTATTCACGGGCAGTTCAATTTTACAACATGACAATAATTAATTAAGATCTATTATACAATTAGTCTCTCCTTAACAGATATGTTTTTAAAATAAATTTAATAATTTTATTTTGGTGGGAAATTAGTTTTTCATTGTCCGCCATAGTATTAAATGAATTGTTTGAAATAAAATTTCCAAAAAGAACAGTTCTTATAGCATTGTTAATCGGACACACAACAAGGAAATGAGCTTTGTCCTCAATAAGATTTGTTTGGCATTAATTACATTACTTTGATTAGGCAATTTTCCGCTATATCTACCGGTTTCAATTATCAATGGCAGGATGCCACATCTAAACTGTGCGTATAATGAGCGTTTATTTCTTTTCAAATTTAACAATAAATAATTTCACAATAATAATAATAAAGGAATTCAACAAGTTTACAACTTCATCTCTCATTGATGAACCAAGGCAATACAAAATTTCTATGTTGTAAACTTTTCACTAGTTTGTATACATAAATATATTTGTCTATATATATTTGAAAGTTGATTCTACACGTGAAGAGCTTCGTCCAGTTGTCGGTAAGAGTAACGTAACATTGTCTCATATCAGAAGAACTGATGGTAAAGTTGATTTTATGTTCATATTAGAGGGCCTGGAGGAGAAAGAACCGGGGAAAAAAGAAATTATTTGGAGGTAAGACAATAAATAGATAATATTGAATGAGAATAAGTTCAGTCATATTTAGTGAACCAGTTGAATAAAATCATTTCAAGCTAGCCTGCTGACAGCATAATATTGTTATTACTACCTACCTTGCAGTGGAAAGTGAAATTATATTCTATAATTTTCGCAGTGAAATTATATTTGATAATTTTCATTGTAGCCGGACAATATTTGGATGCGGATGAAAATAATATTTCATAACTAAATGAAATAATCAACAGTTATAGCTTCCGTCGTATGTAAATTTTCCTTCTTTAGGAGAAGCAAGTAAATAACTTCATACATTGGGTTAAAAATGTAACAAAATTCGAGAAATGTTACTGAACTATTTTTCAACATTGGTACGGTGACGTCATGATTTGATTTCGTGATGAAGAATAACGCATGGTGTTACGCGGCAAAACAAGTAAAAATAACTTAAAATCACTTAAAACATTGAATAAATAGAAAATTTGTTTTGCATGTAAGATCGAAATATATTTCACTGGATGGATGCCAAATGAAATATTTTCATGAGTGGCGTAGCGATATATTTTGTAGCGTTTACACTAGATTAACTCTTTTTAAAACCAAACACTAAAATAGAGGAAATCGGAATCCGTAGCATTTAAGTGACATCATTTCCATACCTTTATTGAGGACTTGCACAGTCATTCCGATTTTTATATTGTAAACATAAAGAGAACGGAAAATATCAGTTAAAATGCTTGCTTATTTTTCCTACGTTTTAACATTTTATCTAAAGGGGTATGCTAAAAAAAGAACAGCCACGGTCGCAAATACTGTATAATTTCTACACAGCAACACTGTTTGGTATACTGCAACTGAGAAGATTTACACAGGAGAAGTTAAATCTACTGTGAGAATGAAACTGTTGTAAAGAAATAATAGCCCAACAGATGGCTGCCCAGCAGAGTTCGCACTATAATGTAGTCCGTAAGCGGTATTTATTGCCGTATATTATACAGCGGTTGTTTTCTTCTTTGTTTAAAGTAACAAAATCACGAGTCTTGTTAGATATTGAAATAATAAGGTATACTTAATTATTATTGTTTCAATTTCTAAATCATATCAATTGAATACAGGTTTTATAGAACGATTGTTTAATTTTACAGCAACCAGAAGCGATTCAATAATCTCTATTTCGAGTATATAACGTATTTCACTCAGCCGGAAAACTTGCCAAAGAGACCAAAGTATGTGTCTGAAGCAAAAATAGGAATAGTAGAAAGCATCATAGAAGCAAACGTCAGCAAAGTCCCCAGAGATGGTAAGGCGATTTACATTTATTGATTATAACTATAATTACTAGAAATGCTAATATTGTATCAACGAGATATGTTCTTTCGTACAAATGCTTTAATTGTAATACGATTTTTATTGCTGCGTGTTAAAACGAAAGTCATAATGAAAAGCGTTAAATCATTTTTAGGTGGTCTGATTAGAGACGAAGGATCATTTAAAGTCTACAAATGTGAGGGTGGTTTCTCAAAGGACCATCCGGCAGCCGAGCTGGCCACATGTATAATAGACGATGATCAGTTCAAGACACTGATTGAACATGGAGATTGGTAAGATTGGCGTATTGTAATATATATTTTATTTCTTTCAGCAAACAAAGAACAAAGAGTTATAATGTCGACGGTTCATACACGTGTTATACGCTGAATTTAGAGTTCTACTGAAGGTGGATTGTATCACAACACAATGTTCCGTTTTATATTTTAATGTTTCTTTCTTAGTGGAATACCACAGATAATATATAACATATACACAGGTTATCCTGATGTTAACAAATTAATATTAAAAACAGTAACAATTATTTCTAGTGGAAAGCCACAATACAATGTTATCACTTGGAAATCCAAAATCTAACTGTCCCTAAATTTTCTACATGTATCTATACAATAATTCTAAAATTGATTTCGTTTTAGCTGACCAATAGAATTTTAACATTTTTGTGTCTTAAATAACAAAATGACCAATCAGGTTTCAATACAAAATAATGTAACATAGCAACATAGAATTTATAACACAATCATCACCTGGATATTTTATCAGTCATAAGGTTTAACAACATGATAAGTACAGACAGCTTAATTGACCTTATCACCTATATTATATAGAACTTTTAGCACAGTTGATTGGACAAAGAGGAAAAGCCGCATTTTAATCTTCCAGTTACATAATTTTAAATTTGACATCTGTTATTGAAACATATACAATTTGTAACTTAACATATTTGAAATTTCACAAATTTTGTTTTAAAAATATGACCTTTTAGAAAATGATTATATATATAAATATTTGTGTTTAAAAGAAAATCATCATGCATATTTATTCTTTTTTTTTTTAAATGAATTTTATCATTTTTCGGCTGCACAACACACATATAAAGAACTTTATCACGGATCCGATGAACATAGGATTTATCGTTTCGAGTTACCTTCGGACAATTTTAGTTTATACATTGTATATGTACTCGTGCCGCTTTTGAGACTTTGTAGAAACGATATTGACGCGTCAATGAAATTGACACTTTAAGTTCTATTCTAACACTATCGGACTTTTTCTATATAAACAAAGAAGGCCTGAAGCGCATTATTCTACAACAATGCACTCGCCGTTCTCATTATCTCCCTGTGAATTTTCACATTGAGAGGCCATTTTGTTTGAAAAATCTGATAAATAAAACACATTTTTGGTCGAATTTTGTTGTGAAAACTATCTAGAATGAAAGAAAATGGTCTAACTAAGAAAATGAATACGAACACCAATATCTTTAATTCAGTCGTTAACGCTGTACGGACGTTTAAAGTGTTGTTTACGTGACGTCACAATGTAGCGCCAAACAGTACGTGCAAAACAATCAAAATCAAGTACGCTATTTTAATGTCGCAAACAAGTTAAGTTTTAAATTTATTTCACTTTTGATAATTTGTATTTCGCTTCAAAAAATTATAGAGTGAAATAAAATAAACAATCAAAGTTTTATAAACGTTTTAAAAATTCGTTTTTCTCAAAATGTTTCTACACACGGTAAATTTAACGACAGTTTTTTCAACCCACTGGAACAGCCTTTAAAGAACGTTTCTATTGGTAACTCTGAGGCGAAAACAAATTTAACCACCAAACATAAAGTCCAACTTTATAATAATAATTATATTTTTATCTTGACGTGTTAAATGGAAATAGATATTAATTCTTCGTGCATAATTGTATAATAATGCACGTTTTTCGTTCACATGCTTTGTAATTAATCACTCATGCCTATCGGCCTTCGTGATTATCTTATTACGCATTTGAACTCAAACCGTGCATTATTCTACAACAATGCACTCAGAATTGATATAGAGAATAATAGGTTGGTGCCGTGGATGGAGAAAGTTTATCTGGCGAGGCGGAGGAATTTATTGGGTGAGCCGAAGGCGAACCCAATAAATTACGGAGCAGAGCCAGATAAACTTTCTCCATCCACGGCACCAATCTATTATTCTATTTATCCTGTCACCGTTTTTTTAAAGAATTTTATTTGGCAAACTACCTTTAATCACACTATCTTACAGGTTTCTATATAAACAAAGAAGGCCCTAATTATTCTACAACAATGCACTCGCCGTTCGTATTATCTCCCTGTGTATTTTCACATTGAGAGCGCCATTTTGTTTGAAAAATGTGATAAATAAAAACAATTTTTTGTCGAATTTTGTTGTGAAAATTATCTAGAATGAAAGAAAATGGTCTTACTAAGAAAATGAATTCGAACACCAATATCTTTTATTCAGTCGTTAACGCTGTACAGACGTTTAAAGTATTGTATACGTGACGTCACAATGTAGCGCCAAACAGCACGTGCAAAACAATCAAATCAAGTACGCTATTGCAATGTCGCAAACGAGTTACGTTTTACATTTATTTCACTTTTAATAAATTTTATTTCGCTTGAAAAATTATAGAGTGAAAAAAAAATAAACAAACAAAGTTTTATCAACGTTTCCAAAATTCGTTATTCTACACACAGAAGATTTAACGACAGTTTTTATATTTTTTCTTGAGAAGTAGTCCGGCAAACATGCATACCACGTGATCAAGTGCCGTAGATCAGTAAAAATATACGGCACCTTGTTATCGGGCCGAAATTGATACAAGTGACAGGATAAATCTATTTCCTAATTCTATATATGTAATAAAAAGAATATTATATTCGTGTATATTCAATACTAAATTTATTGAACTCGTTGAATTAAACAATATCTTTCTCGCCAGTGGCTCGCATAATATGATGTTATTTAACTCGTTCAATAAATTTAGTATTAACCCTACACTCATTCAATATTTATAATTTAGTTAATAACAGAAAATCATATACTATGACATATCCCTTTGCTCCATGCTAACCTTCAAAATGTCAGGACAAAAGTTTGTTATGTCTGAAATGTTTGATTTAAATCTGATGAAATTGGATACAAAATGTTAATTTGTCTAAAAACGGCACATTTCTATAATTATTTCAAGTATTTATCAAAACAATATTTTTGCATGTTCTTATAAAGAATTGCTTGAAAAAAATGCTAAAGCAATTGTAACTTATTTAGAATGATTTTTTATATAAACAATAATGTTATTTTGTTCTGGAGCATTCTATTATTTATTATAAATACATGTATATGTAATATCTGATCACTTGTATCACACTTACGATTCTTCCGTAGTTCGCGATCGTTGTTATGGTTAATGTCATCGTATTCATTGTATTACATACCTTCCAGTGTGAAACTAATCATTTTAAATAAGTTAAAATTTGATACGTGCATTTGAAAATCTCTTTTCTAATCAGTTTATAATGAAAAATATTTTAGTTTATGAAAACAACATAAAATCTCCCAAAATGCACTATTTTACGCCATCATTCTTCATTTTTAATGAGCGTCACCCGTGCCTTAACCCCCTTTCGGATGGGTGACCTCGCTCTAGTATTGGGACCGTGTAGTTTAGTTGTATATCAAATATCCGTTACGGAATATCATTGATATAACACGGTTACTGGTTTTAAAAGTTTATCTCTATAAGACATTTTCGGTGTTTTGAAGGCTAACAATCTATCTATTTCCCTGAATAATAATAATAATAATAATAATAATAATAATTATGATAATAATAATAATTATAATAATAATAATAATAAATACTTTATTTAACGAGAGATCTAGAACTCATTTGAAAAACATATCAATCTTCCATGAGGCCCTCGACAAGGAACAATATAACATATTCAAACTATTAAAATACATAAATGAAAATACATACAAGAGATTGTCAATTTGAATATATTGATCACAAGTGTGATAATATCTCAAGTATATTGTTTTAAAATGGTTCGCAGATGTAGCAGACTAAATATAATTAGGAATGCCATTCCAAATACAAGGTCCAGAATAAACAAAAGACTTACGAAATCGTTCAGTATTTGGTCTTGGAGTGTAAAGTTGAAAATCAGATGATGAACACAAAATGCGAGTATGAACATCTGACGATAAAATGAAAATATTCAATAAATAGGAAGACGCCTGAATATTCATTATTTTAAACATCATAAAAGCTTTTTGAAAAACTATCCTTTGTGAAAAGGTCTTCCGGCGGAGTTCAGAAAATAGTTCAGCAGATGGAGTGTCATAATCGTTTTCTAGAACTAGTTAATGAGTCTTGTAGAGTAGAAAAGACGTACAGTTACCATAAATTATGCAACAATAATCAAGATGTGGTAACATGTAAGCATTGTAAAACAAACAATTTGCTCTGTTTTATACGAAATACTAGGATAACTTTAAAAAATATAAGTTTGCTTGTGTTTTGAGGAAATATACATAACCTTATTCTAGTTAGCATTGATAGATCACATTATTTGTAGGCAATAAAAAGGTCATGCGACTCTGTTAAGGGATAATCAGAAGTTGATAGGTTGATGTCATCAGCAAAAATATCAGTTTCTGCTTTTTCCATACACAAAGGCAGGTCATTGATATAGATTAAAACGAATAGGACCTAACACTGAGTCCATAGAAACTCCTGTAGTTACTGAACTTAATTCTGAATATAAACCGGATATGTAAGTGTGTTGGGTTCTGCAATCTAAAAAGGAGGAAAACCAGGTTATACATTCTAAGCTTTTCAATAATAAAGGAGATCCACATAAACAAATGCTTTAGAGATATCAAGAAAAATTTAACCAACTATTTCATTTTTGTCAATAATTGTAATCCAATCATCAATTATTCTAATTAGAGCAGTTTGACATGAATGGTTTGAGCTGAATCCAGACTGACGTTGGTATAGAAGTTGATTTTCCTCAAGGTATTGCTTTAAATGTGATCTGACATGACTTTCAAGAATAAGTGATATCAAAGAAAGTATGGAAAATGGCGTATAATTTCTTTTATCACTTTTAGAGCCATATTTGTGTACAGGAATATTTTTGGATATTTTTGGATTTAATGTTGGATATGGAACATTTACACATATGGAGAACAATACTAATTGAGACCATTTTAAATTTCTTCTTTCATTTCTTGGCGATTTCCAAAGAAATGACCTAACAAGGGTTAATGTGTATCTTTTATGTCTTCATGAATTATGACGATGTGACTGTATATTGTTTGCAGCTTATTTTCGTTATCCTCACGTTTAAAATTAAACACCTGAACCCAAGACAATAAAATATTCTCGAAGAAGATTGCTCCAAATGACAATGCATGAATTGGCAACTATAGATGAACTATATTATGGTCGAATTGAATTTTGTTGTTGTTGTTTTTCTTCAATAATAATTCATATTAAACAAACATGACTAAAATGGCGAAAGTTCATTATCGTCCTCACATGGTACTTAAACCAACATATGTTTTACAGTTAATCAATATATCGTTTTAACCGATGCCCTTTTCATTGATCCATATGCAGTTGCCCCCCCCCCTTACATTGTTGGTATACGTTTTTGTTCCAATCCCGAGCGAAACGGCTATCGCGGATCAGATACTAATACGTAGTCGGATACAAGTAATCAGAAAATCTTATCCGGCGTAATTTCAGTTTAATCCCGGAAAAATGACGTAATTCAATTAGGTGCATGTCGTAGTCTCCGGCAAACCAAGGAATTCTATATTGAGCAGCGTCTACTCATATCGGTGTGCAATTGCATACACAATTTATCCATTCACAGGCCACTTCTATCTAATGGCGCAAATAGGATCACAGTAGATATTCTTAGGGGAAAAAATCTTTTTTACTCGTTGCTTCTGTTTCCGTATATAAACCATTTAAGAGTCTGTATAAAGACATAAATATCGTCTTAAATTTGATAATGATTATAAAATGTCTTTATATACTTAAATGATTGGTTATATATATATAGAGAGAGAGAGAGAGAGAGAGAGAGAGAGAGAGAAATCGGCACGCCGCAGGCGGGACTCGAACCGCTGGTCTCTGGATTGCCGGTCCAGTATGCTCATCACCACACCACAGCGGCCGTTGCTTATTCGTCGTGCTAATTGGCCTTATATATTTAAGTTATTTTTTAACTTTATTGTGACGTCACCTATTTTATTGGAGAGGTCATTAGACCTCTCCACAGTGTTCAGACTGATTGCTAGTGGCGCCCATTTTTGCGTATCTGATTGTAGTGAACGAATCTCATTTAAAGCGTAAAATTATTAGGAGCAGTCTACAAAAATTATACTGCTCTGTTTCAAAACATTAAAGACTTAACTTCGAAGTGAACAAATCGATACTTAGAAAAAGCGGAAAAAATATCATTTACGTTACTTAGCACTACGTGGATGTTTTGTTCCGTTTTAATCTATAAATTGTATATTTCGATTACCGTTCTATTTTCTGAATAGCGTTTTACTATCGCATGTTCCGATAGATAGCAACAGTGTACATTATAGCTTAACTATTATATGACCGAGTGAACCGTGTACCGAAATTTTGCTGCTCCTTAAACATTTGAACCGGTATAACTAAATAACGCAACGGAGATTTTTGGCGCAAATTGCACAAATTCAAGATTTCCCTCAAATATTGTGGTTTGAGGCATGCAAGTTTTATAACTGTTTATTCCAATCAAATATATACACATTTTTTATGTAAATCTGGGACTTAAAATTGTTTGATTTAAAAACTTTATGCCCGTTTTAGAGGAAATGTTTTCATATACTTACCAAAACGTTAACCGAAAATGTGCTAATTGAATTTTATTAGAAACATTTATTTTGATACTAGTTTTTATATATTAACATGTTTATATCATTATATTCAATTTTGTTTGATGACATAACATAAATTGTTCCCTTTTAGAATAAGTATCCCTAATGCGCAAAGAAAAAAATTCATTTCTCTGGGATATATAAATCATTCAAAATATTTTTAAAAAAATGAAGTGTAAAACAAACTTTTATTATGATACTATATTCAATATATGTAATAAATTCTATTGTGTTAAATAATTGTAATTTATAACCATTCGTTATGTCTTTTATGAAAAAAAATCCTCAAATATTTTCGAATTAAACAAATCTTCCACAGCAACAAAACTACCTCTCGCTTGCTTCTTTTTAAAGAAGCAAACTTGTATTTGTTATCTTATTTTTGTTTTTGTTGTTTTATATATATTGATCCTTATCATAAAATCGATGTGAAATCTTTAAATTATCCGTATTTTTTGCACAAAATATTAATGCGCACCAATCAATGCGTCAACATACGTGTTTGTTTTTATAAATTTATTGTTTAGGTTGAACATCAAGTTCAAGTCATCATCCGGGGGTTTCCAACAGTTGGTCAATATAGATGATCAGAGTAATCCATATGCTAGGAAATACTACAAAGGTCTGCAAGATATTCGAGAGGTAGGTTGTATTGCTGTTTACCGTTTTTTAGATATTTAACAGAATGTATATTTGTTAATCTTCCTTTTAATTGAAATTTTATAGTTACGTTCACGAACACGTCAAGTATATATATTGCTGAGAGAAAGATAATTGTTTTTAATAATCACGATATGTATGTATGTATCTAATGACACCTCTTTCAATATTGATTGATTGATTGATTGATTGATTGATTGATTGATTGATTATAATTTTGTATTCTATATCTTGTTCAGGTACAATTCAATTTCGACTTCGTAGCCCCTAAACATTGTAAAGAAACAAAAAAATGTAATTCATGGTCAAACATACTCCGTGTCGACAAGGAATTCACAAAGGTAATAGAATGTTTATTCAATTTGGTATTCATTTGAAATCGTAAAGGTTTTGTTGTTTTTTTTTTTCGGTGGAAATGTTCATTCGTCATTTCTGATAATTCTCTAGTTCTGTAATGTACTTAATAATATTGGATTGATGTTTACCATTACGTTCCACTTCGAGCAGTGTTCCAGTTTTCATTCTCTTTTATTATAGCTCTATTTCAAAATAATTTTAATCGGCTTTCGTTTATTCGTTTGCGTATTAACCACATCAATTCATAGTTTGTGATTTTATAGCAAATGTTTTATCATATGTTGATTAAGTTGAAATTGTAACAGAAAAAAACAGAGAAGTTTTTAAATATATTGATATTTAAGATTGCCACGCAACATAATATGTGTTTTGATCGAGTAAGTTTTTTTTAAAAGACATAATATTTTAATATTTACTTTATTCTGTAAAGATCGTGATAAAATTGATCATTCATTTGTAAACGTTTTAATTCAGGACCCTATTAAGATTCTCTGGTCCGGATGGATTGACGAACTCTGTGGCGTTTGGGAATATTACGTAGAAGTGTTTAAACTAACACCAGATCGATATGACAAACTTATTGAAGCAGAACCTTTGAAGCCTGTATTTAATGCAACAATTCCACACACAAAAAAAATTGCTTATCCTTCTTACAAGCCGAAAGAACCTGGCATGTACAGGCAAGAAAAATACTTTCGACTTTGAAATTTATATTTTATGTTAAAGATTTTTAAGTTAATTTGAATATAAATTATCATTTATGGATAGTATTCTCGACCGTATTTACTCACTGTATCGTCACTGTAATTGCGCATTGAAATGCTGCCAACCAATTAAAATCACTATCACCTTTGAACAAAATGTTGTTGTTGTTGTTGTTTCAACCGGTAAATCTGCTAGTTTGCATACTTTATTAAAACCATAATACCAAGTATTTTGTAGATATAACTTGATAAAAAAGTATGTAACATCAGTAATCATGGGGTTGACGGTCACGTTATGTTTGAAACATGGCCAACATATAGTCTATGTCTTGCTTTTGATTGAAAACGTTAATGTTTTCTTTGGTTATAAAACGAAAAGAAAGTTACATATTTATATGGTCAGTTCATTCTTTTCCCCTAATAGTTGTAAAACATGATTGTCATGATAGTCAATAATAGTTTGACAAAGTTTTCTTTTCGTTTACTAAATGTCGTTTCTTTTACAAATTTCAGTGTTTTGATGGAAACTAGAGACTTCGCTAATAACTCAAGAATAGCCAGAAGGCTTGTTTTATTTGATGACCAGTCGGACATTACACTAAATGAAAACTCTGACGGAAAACTGTATGTGAGTTCAGCTGTGAATGAAACTGGATATATGTGGCAGACTTCAAGTAAAGGTAAGTAATTCAAAAAAGTAGAGCAACCAGATGACACAATTTTATAACATCTTTCCTTGATTCATGTATTTGTTGTACAGGACAATTTTCTGTCTCATGCTTTATCGCATTGGTTTGATGTACTTAGTTTATACAAATTTATCTAAGCTCGATCGTGTCGGAAGATATAAGCTGATTGAAACACTTTCGAATTCCAAACCAGTACTAACCAGTGAATGTAAGGTTTCTTGCTCAAGGATTTAACAACGACTTGCCTCTGACAGGGTTAAAACCCACTCGGCCCCGCTGCCACTCAATGATGTACTTGAACGTGTTCATTATGCACTGCATTTGTTTTTTTATAAGAATTATATTTTGGTATAAGAAATCTTAACTGTGTACTATTAGGAATATAAGAATAAAGATTAATTTTGAAAATAAGAATCACGTGTTATATATTCCTACTAAATAAAATCTTTAAATCTGTTATTGTTAACCAATATTACTTCTATCACCATCTATTTCAGGAAATGATGTAACTATCGATGTAGCCTGGTCAAATCATTTTATTAATAAGATAATTGAAGACAATAAGTTGCTTTATCGTGTTGACTCATATCCAATCCAATTCAAGGAAATTCAAGATGATGGCATACTTTATAGTCAAAAGTAAATACATGAAAATTGTTTCTTTATCACTCACAGTAGTTTAGTTAAAACTTCTTTTAGTTTGAGAATATAAGTCATTTAATAAATCAAAAGCGCCCTCGTGTCTGCTTACTAGAACTAGTTTAGCTGATGAATCATGGGCTTGGATCAATGATACCTAGGTTGAGAGGCGTATATTGTACGCAGGTGTTCTTATAATTGCAAAAAGATCTAGTGTATATGAAAAACATGTATTTTTATAAAGATATAAAAAAGTTCATTATAATGCATAAAGACTTAATTAAAATGGCTATTGCTGATGTGTCTCCTGTGGGATATACAAGCCCACATTCATCACCTTGATTTACTGTAATGGTATTTAATTAAGTCATTACCAGATGTTAGAAACTTATGGGATAAAACAGTAGTGCATCCCTGTCATTAAGGACAAAGTACATGTCGGGAAAATAATACACATCTCCAGGTAAGTAAAAACTCAAGAAACAGCCATGCTTATATTTGTTATCTTTTAATGTCTCTGTCAAAATACATAATTGTCGTCTAGATTACGTGGTTTCAGAATAATGATAGATGTTTACTATTGTTATAAGTCATTAAGTAATATAGGTTAATCATAATATTAGAGTAGGCTGCTTTTCCTCTAAATATTCAAATAATTCAAGCATTCATCAGTGCAGTTTAAGTAACGTAGTTTTCACTCCTTAAAATTTGTGTAAAGCATATTTAAGAGCATACAACTTTTTATGTTTTAATCATAGATAATTTATTCAGTATGTTATTTAAATATTGTTATACTAACATAACTGAAATAAGTAAGGTTTATTGGAATATCGGTATATAAAATACTTTTTACAAATGGGAGACACAGGTAAATTTTTCAATACTACGTTTTGAGTTTTTCATTCATCTTTCTGCAAATGTCCTCAAAATAAATAAACTAGGCAGTCTTAGGAACACACCTTTCTCCTTATAAAGAATAAAATGCTGTTTTCCTAACTTGACCCGAGTGGGTCAGGTTAGAGCGTTAGGATTTTACATAAGTTGCCACAGTAAACCATTGAAACGTTAAAAAATTTATCAAATGAATGACTTAGACTTGTTTCAATTATTCAATATACAAAAAATCTGTTATTGTAACTTCCGGGGTTTGTTTAAGTCACATGGCTTGATTTAAAAAAAACTCGGTGATTATGACGGCGGTAAATTTCGTTCAATACATCTAAATATATTTACGCTTCAAACCCAAAATAAATAGTAATTTAAACAGAATTTCATGCTTGGACTTTAGAAAATGTCATTTAAACGTGATTTGAGTACATTAAATCATTTTGATATTTTTGTCATTTATTTGCCTGACTATCCCACTAATATATACGAAAAAATACTATTTAAGCTTCATAAAAATATCAATATTGATCAACAGCTATAATGATTAACAGTTTAAATATAAAAAAAAATATTATAAAATACTGAACTACGTGAATAAAATGAAAGAAAATAAGTATTTGAGATGTAATTAAGACTAACAAAGCATCATCATTTGTAATTATTTCAGCTCTTAGTTTTATATCCTGATAGATACATCTAGTCGTGTTTTTTATATTAGTAAGGTTACTAAAAGCTAATATTCTACAGAAATTGTTCAAACACGCCAAGGAATTATAAATCACATTTTCATTTGAGGTCACCATATATGGGGCACCTTAACAAGAAATAATATTGAGTTTCAGCATTTTAGACGATACAATTATTAATTGTGTCTTATATTAAACAACATCTTAGGATTAATATACATAAATAAATTCTAAATTGTGTATAGTAGGATAACTTGATTTGATCGATCTGCTACAGTTTCATTCCATTCCAGACGCGTCATGTTGGCCAGGTAATCATTGTTTTAACACTGGCATATAGTTTGTGTCAGAGTTGTTTATATACCAGAAATAGCTAAAGCCTAAATAGTCTAGTAAACATTTAATCTCTGAAGCACAATTTACTTTGTTATTGTTGTTTATTAACGAATCACACAATTTTACATAAATACTATGCTTTAGTTATTTGGTTATTTCATGATATCCAACCCAGATTTAAGCTAATTAAAGAACGGGGAAACCGGCCAAGCTCTCCAATGACAGTAGTATTAATTTTGATGTTTCAGGACGAACCCTAAGAACGTTTTTACAGAACTTAAGGTGGACTTGTCAACTTTGTAATAGCAAATCCCCAAACCTCTGAACCGTACATAATTATTATTGGAGTAACTAACGAGTCAAACAGTGACATCTATGTTTTAATATCTATTTTAATTCTACTGAACAATGAAAGTAGATTATTGTAGGCCATAGGTGCTTTGCCATTCAATGCTTTAAATGCCTTAGTACAAACATTTTACAAAAAAATAATGAAAGGAATCGATAATTTCCACATTTTCTCCGTTGATTGACTATTTTAAGTTGCTTTTTCTAATATATAATTTTAGCAGTGTTAACATTAATTTTAATGCCTAACTTATACAGATTACCAGTCTGGTTTTGAAGACTTTTTGAGGTGGTTGTAAGTGATGCAATATCATCAGCAAGTAGTAAACAATACATTGGTGTTCTCATTTGACAGCTATGGCAAATAAACAATATTACTTATATCATTTACAAACAAAATAAACAAAATTGCGGGAGTGGTTCCACTTGTTTTAATCCAAGCGAGATATCGGAAAGAGTAAGAAATTGATCAAGTATGCTTTTTTCAATATTTGAAATTTAAGTAATGATCATTCTTTTCATTTATCATCAATTATTGTATTATTAAGAACGAAATACATGAATGACTTTTGGACTTACAGATACTGAGTTATATAAGATCAGGTATACTATAACACTACAATTATTGGAAAAGCTTGCTTATTATTGATCGGGATAGTATTGCAGAAAGAATAAAAAAAAACTACTTTTGCTTATCTAAAAATCAATTTCATCTCCCAAATTGTACATTTGTCGTTTTATAGATTCGTACAAGATTCCTTAGACGACAACGAAGGACATCGAACACTTAAAGCTATTGAAAACTATCACGGAATCGTAAAATTTGAAGTAGCAACTGTTCTATCAAAAGATGATGAAGAACCAAAGTCCACATGGAAAATTTTGGAACCATTTCAAGAGAAAACCTCAATTCCGTTGAAGCTACAGGAGGGTAAACTTTATACTTGCATTATTAATTTATATAACTTCCAATTACTTCGACGTTTAAAATCGAATATGTCTTCAACTTGTTTAAACATAATTGTCCTGTTTATATTTTTATCTGTTGACAGAAATATATTCCACGAAATTCTATACATATTTTGAACACTATCAGGCTTATAAAGCAATAACTTGTCACAGGTAGAGACGTACATGTATTTTTAAGTCTTGTTTTAGAATAATCAAATAAAAAGACATTCAACTTCAATCACATATTAAACGTTACATGTTATTCATTATACAGGAAGCCGTGTACGCGTGTGGGTCCGAGCGACAGATGTAATGGGAAATATAAAAGCAGACAGTACTTTGGTAAGGTTTGATAATACAGAACCTACGATATCTTCTAGCGGGGATGGCCACATGTTTGAACCGAACATTGAAAGTACGAAATTTAATTTCTCTTCGAGGTAAGGCTTATTTTCATACACCCCATAAGGAGTTTTTAATTAAATGCCAGAATGTAATGTTACCGTGTAACCATATGCCATATCGCCTTTGTCTTCAAAGTTTTCAGTTGGTGTGATCAAAATATTTTGAAAATAGAAACTTAAATGTCCAAAAAATGTTTAATCAAGTATAAGAACTTCTAAATAAATAGTAAATTGTTACACAAAGCATAATACACTGTTATTTGCTATTTGTTTAATTCTTACATAAACAATTAGTACTGTAGTGAAACAATGTCTTAAAGTTTACATACATAATGTATATACTATTGGCTATGTATAGATATAAGTAAAGGTATTTGAATTGAATGATCTTGTTTAAAATAATGAAACTGTATCGTTTAAAATGTCGATGAAAGAAAATTATATTGTCCTTAATTACCAATTATCTTATTTCCGTTCAGGATGCAACCTCTCAGCGTAACTTACCATCAAGCTATGATAATAAACATGCAATAATTTATTGCTATCGTTTTAAGTTGTGACCTATAAAATACCTTCAATAAAACCCTACAAGTATTCATTCATAATTAAGCTAGTGACAGGATCTAAACTATGTACAGATTGATACTTTATTGTAGGTTATTACCCTTCGAGAGACTTAGTTTAGTTCTGAAGATTGCTATCATTCATATTTAATAATTTAGCTTAGTAAACGTTTAAGAGGTTTATAGCTTAATATACTGATGATGTTCAATACCGTCTAGGTAGTAAACTTGTAAATAGATGCATGTATCTTAGTTTTACAATTTTCTATATGTGTGTTGTTTTAATTTTTAATATAACAAAGTCTATTATTATTGTATCACCATACCTCACTATATTCTTTCATAATTGGTTATTAATTGAGAATTTAAAACGTAGAATGAAAATTTCAAAAATTTTCTTTAAGTTTATAAATATCAAATACGTGTTTCTAATAGTATTAGTAAAATATCTGGCATGTGCAGTCAAGTGAATAAAAAATATTGAGCAAAAATTTAATATTACATTATTGTGCTGATGAATGCATCATTCGATGCTAAGTCATAATTAAATACCATTTGATTCTTGGCTAACGCATCGGTTGAAGGTGTGAACATACATTGCGGGATGTGATATTTTACTAAACCGTACAAATCAATATTTAAACATGCATCGAATAACAAAACAGCCCGGCTCGATAATGTCAGCGGGTCAAAAAATTATGCTTCCATGCAATATTATGTGTTTAACCCTCTAATTGGTATATGGTTATAGAGTCAATAAATTAAGTGAGGTAAAATCATATATATATATATATAAAACACATTCTAAGTGGATAATATTTAAAATTAATACCACGCCAAGGAAAATGTTGTTAACCTAGGGTTTTACTTGAGATAAGTTACTTATGCATAATGACATATACCAGCTTTAAAGATACATAGATTTTATCTTATTAGAAACACAGCGTTTTAACTCTCTATCTTTACAATGAGCATATACAATGTTTTAATTTTGAATAGTATTTTAGAACTGTGTACTTTTTTAGTACAAGTCAAGGAAATTCTTTGAATCATTGTTTGTTGTGTGCTTAATCGTTTTCTTCTTCCCTTGTGATAAGTATTCTCCCCCATATTATTCTTCCTCTGTTATACAGGATGCTTCCATAACTATTCAACCAATTGATGTTTTAGGAGCGAATGTTCATCTCTGGTGCTAAAAGACAAACATGTGATGCCCATATGCACTAGTTTATCGAACAAAAACATGACAACCATTTTGTTTTCCAGCTGCATCATGCAGTCAAATTGTAGGTTAAAAATGTTGCTTACGTTAATGTAAAATATCGTAGTTACACTTGCTCAAACAGTAATAGTACCAACTGGCGTTTAGGAAATTAACATTACAAAAAAGTGAACATCTACATTTATTTCAGGATAAAGTTCATTGCCTCTGACAAAGAGAGTGGCGTACATAAGATTGGATTTTCTATCACAATTAAAACTACAGGCAAGGAAGACAGGGTTATTTATGAAGGATTTGCACCAGCATCGATTTCAAATGTACTTTGGTTTGCATACATTCAAATTGCAATAATGTCCAGTTTTTTTCGTATTCTCGGGTGAGGGTGAGGGGGTTAAGGAATAAAATGTAAATTGCAAAAGATTAAAACATTTTCTGAATAGGTTGATAAATATGACCTCCAAAACTTATATTAATCAAAGATAATATAAAAAAAGAAAATAATGCAATTTTAAGTTGATAAAGTATTTTTGATGTTATAAACGCTGACCTTCACCCCCTCGATAAGCCAGATGCTTTCTCATATTCTCGGGGATACTGATTGGTTACAATGGCCGGTCGCTATTTGTCATTTCCATTCTAAACATCAGTTCATAATTGTACTGCAATAAGAAATTGATAATATGGGAACAAATTGAATAAAAATAATTGTAGTTGAAAACGGCTTAACTTTAGATTTTCTTTAGTATCAATGAGATTTGAAAAAATAATGTGTTCCATAGAATTAATGAAGTAAAAAATAACGAAATATCTTTTGTTAAGATTTCATTTAAGCATTAATATTTTGTAGTCAGCGTTTTTGAATTGAGGTGACTTCGTAAATGCAGTGACAATATTTTACATTCATAAATACTTTTATTGTTTAAATTCGTAGTCAATGATGTGTTGTATTTGTTTTTTTAAGTCCACTGATGACCCACTATGTAATGCTGTGATAGAAGGGAAGTGTTTTAAACCGTTCCAGAATTTATACCTTGATAACTGCTGGTTCTTAGTCAGCAAGGGTGATCTTGACAATAGTATAGCTTCTGTTAAAGTGTATGCATATAACCAAGCCCTGCTTAATAAATCCGTGACGTTTGACGTAAGTACACAAGAAAGATACCAATACAAGGAAACGTATTTTGGACACATCTGGTTTTAAATATTATACAATAAAATCTGAAACTGACCTTGTAAATTCGATCAATTGAATTATATATTGTCATGATAATGTAAAATGTCACTCTGAGAGCAGGTCAGATCAACAAAATAAAACATATATTTATCTATTTATAAATAACACGCAACTGCTCTTCTTTAAATCTTACAACAAACTAGAATGTGTAGTGTCACTTTAATAAAATTGTCTTTGCTTTGTGTAACTTTATAGTAAATGCTAAATAACTTCTTTAGTTTAAATTAAATGCTAGATGAAATCCTATTTTATTTTTAGGATAATTGCCTTTCAATACGATATCAGTCCTTGCATTTAAATTAACTCTTTTACTCAATACAATTTTTATTTTGTCCATATTGCATTGTTGTACTTTGTCAACAATTTTATGAATTGTTGATACTTTCAGATCGGTCATGTGAAAAATCTCGAGGGACTCGAAAAATGTAAGTGTAATGAAGTATAATTCTTAATTTCATTGTTGTAAAGCTAAACCCAGCTATAGATTTTATAATGAGAATTCCAGGTATAATTTTAGGTTTTGTTAGTATTGAATAGAAAATGCAACCGAATTTTATTATATATTTGAAACATTTAGATAGCGGTCCTGAAAATATACGTATAGAATCTCCAACACCAAACGGTTTCCGTGTCGCTTGGGATCTTCCTGAAAAGACATCATGTTATGGATTGGCTCAAATAGCATTGGTTCTCCTTAGAAAGGTAATGTTGATATGTTTACTTCTAGCTTTGTATTAATTTCTATATTGAAGATTTTGTAAAGGTAGGTTCCAATAATAAAAATTGAAAGTTCATTAGTAATTTTGATAAAAGATATTCCTGCTATAAGGTCATCGTCGCTTTGATATTTGCTGTATTGTTTGGATGTATATGGTTCCTGTATTTTTTATCATTTTGTGTCAAATCACAAATTTGACTTGACTTTGTGTTTTGTTACGTTGACGTAATGTTCTTCCCTTTACATATCATTGGTCGTACAATTTTGTGTTTATCTCAATTATCTAATGAATTTTCTGTTGCCATTTAATCCTTTTGTAACTTTATTCCATGTATGGTATTTACATGTTATGCTTTTTTAAGTTATTGAAATAGATATTGAGTGTGCGCACGTTCTGAATTGTCATATACACCAATGTGGCTGCTATTAATATAAAAAAGCAAGGGTTATAACTTTAAATAATGAAAGCATCAGGGTCGTGTAGTTTTCCTATTTTGTTCTCCCTTTAATACAAAAAACGATAATTGTTCAAGTAACCATTTCAAATACATTTTCTATATATAACAAAGGATGGGAGAGAGCCGTTGAAGACATATTTCACTGATGGATCAAACAAATATTTTGATATCCTTGGGCTTGATCCTGTCACTGATTATCAAATAGATTTTGGAATAAAAATACCACAAGCATCTGCAATTGAGCAAACAGACGTTTCATTAGATGTGAAAACAGGTATGATTGTGTTTACGTATTATTTGAACTCTTTACTAACATTGTTTTAACAAGATTCTTATTTATAAGCACCCGCACATTAATTTTAAACTATCTTAAGAATGTTTGTTCGTAAAGTCAAATGCCCTTGGGTTATATAAATAAAAGAGAAATTTTTACCATGATAAATGGTTTGCTTCACTCATTAGTTATTAAAGTTTGATTCGCATCATCCAATTAAGAAAAAGAAAGAAAGATTGATTATTTGATTTATTTATTGATTGATTGTGTTGAATACCTTTGTTCTTTTATATGTTTACTTTTTTCTCCTCTCTAGAGGCACCTGTTGAAGCAAAAAGTTCTACCGGACTAATTATAGGACTCGTTTGTGGTATGTAAGAAAAAGAGTATAAAGAAATCTTAAAGATTACTCAAAATGGCAGAAATAACAAAGTTGTTTGATTTAACTTATTTATAGATGACTGCGATAAGTGCAAGCTACCATCCGTAAAAGATAAAAATGCTAAAAAGTGCCAGAAAAAGAAAACATATACTAAAATAACTGACATTAATAAAATTTAAGCTTTCAATAATAATAGACTATAAGAGGTTTAATTATATTTCAATATTAGTCGTGAAAATGAAAGCTACTTGCAAAAATTTAGGGGGATAAATCAATAGTATTTTCATTGATTCCAATGATTATAACTCCAAAAATGAATATATAGTTCACAAGGGTATTTTATTGACAAGTGTAATGTATTGTCCAATGTATTGTGTCGTTTATCAGTAATTTGATATACAAGTATCATTTACATTCTTAGTACTATATCATGTAATCGTCGTATTCATTTTCCCATATTTGTTAAACATATTAAATATGTTGTAATTACAAATTGTAACATTTAATGTCCATCAATAATTCGTTTCAGCATATTTTTTTAAATATCGTCAAAGAATTTACGCACCCGACTTTTAAAGGCAGGTGCACGTACATTTGATATATTCTTCCACTTGTTTTGTGCTAAGGAGTAGCTCGTAGCGGAACCACATGAAACGTTTATAGCGACAATGATAAATGAAATTTAATAAATTTATTCGTTTATTATAATTTTATTTATCATGACCATTATTGTTATTGTTATTATTTTTATTATTATCATTATTATTCAGAATTTATTTTAGAATATGTTTGCCATTTAGGGTCGGTGTTCCTTCTGGTTATGGTTATTGTTGTTATGTACGTCCTATCTAGAAAGGGATACATCCATCCTGCCGGAGGAGTTCGTAGTGTTCGGAGGGCCGTTACACAGAGGGTAAGAAATACAAGAGAATACGAGGGGTCAAGACAGGGTGGATCTCAATCAGGCAAAATGGCTTATGATGTAAGACATTTGTTAAAACTAAGCAAGTAAAAATGCGACATTTTGAAATGATGGAATAGTCATGGTTGCCATCTTCATAGGCTTTGTAGCACATTCTGTTTTCCTTACTGTTATTTCAGAACCGGCAAAGTGAATTGTATATTTACGGTGGTATGGATGTGCAGACACCACAGATATGGCACATCGACAGGAATGATGTAACGTTTGAAGCATTGATCAAAAGTGGACACTTTGCTAACATCTATAAAGCTAGACTTAAAACCGGAAAAAGTGATAGTGATATAGTTGTAGCAAAAACACTTAAAGGTATTTCTCAAATAAAGAGCAAAATGTGGTTTGTATCATGTTGAAAACATTTTCTTTAAAATACATATCTAAAAACATTATGAACTAAATATATTTAATTTATCAAAGAATTCTCACATGTTTTGTTGTTGTTTTTTTCCAAATGACATGTCTTACCTTGACTAAACTTAAAATACTATTCTATTCTAGAACGATTTACACCTGAAGACGAGTTACTTATGAAAGCTAAAATTAATTTCACTGGTGAAAAAGTAGGAAGCCATCCAAATGTTCTGAAGTTTATTGGTGCTGTTGTAAATGAAGACGCTAGTAGGTTGCATTTCATTATATTGGCCAATTCCTTTAAATGAATTATGTATAATAAATAAATTCCTTTCTGGACAATATTCGGTTTGAAATGATGCAATATTATTGAAATTATGATTAATTGCTTTTCTTATATTCGAAAATAAAAAATATTTTATTGTTGTCAGGAGAGGTGTGACGATTTCCCAGTCGGACAACAATTTCGTATTGGTTGATCATGTCATTGGAAAACATATTGCTTGAATTGAAATAACTAGTGCATTCCTTTAAAAAAAACTTATATTGATATTTTGTATTTACAAAACTCGATGTTTCTAATTGTTTTCATGCTGTTAAGATAATATCTGAAAAGCGGGGTCCGATTTTAATATTCCTATTTTAACTTTGCATTAAGTTCATTGCAATGTTTCTATGTTGTTTTTTTTTAATCATGGTAATTGTTATTTAGTGGGACCATTTATAATTTACGAGTTCTGTGAGAATGGAACACTGAGAGATTACCTAGCTGAACGAAAAAACAACGTTACCATGGAGTTACAAGAAAACCTATTCCGATTTGGTCTGGACATTACTAAAGGAATGGAATTTCTCGCTGGAATGGGGGTATGACATCCAAATGCTCCTTTACATCTTTTTTTTTACATACAATTTCCATAAACCCCGCTCCATTTTGATATATTACTTCCAATAAATCAGTTCACACCAATGTCTTCAACGTTATCAGTTAAACCAATAAACAATTAAAAATTGTATAATCTTTTAGGTATTTAACTTTAAACAGCTTGTAGGCTAAAAGTTATCATTTTATTACGATGATATCTCGAAAAACCTTAAAGAAAGCTTTTAAATTACCTTTACCTGTATTTCAAATTTTTTAATGAACTTTCTTTATGCTTCAATTTGTTTTTCTATATATTAATTGGCAACGTTTTAAAAAATATTGAAAATGATTTACCATCTTATTTTTGCAAAGCGCTGTAATCGCTTGAGGGCTAAGGAAGCGCCTATTGTCACAGGATATGGTCTACTCACGAACCGGTTGATAATTGTTAGGGTCATAGAGTTTAAATGAATTACCTTTATATATTCTTTTGACAAATAATCTATTGATGATACATAATTATCAGAATGTAACTAAACCTACATCCAATCATTCCAGATTGTTCACCGCCGTCTCGCTGCTCGAAACATTCTTCTGAATTTCCTAAATGAGGTAAAAATTTCTGGGTTTGGACCACAGCCTTCGGAAGAAGATGGAGGGGACGCGGAGAAAGGGAAGAGGGTAAACACTAAAATGTTATATGCTTTTTGTCAATTGTCTATAATGGGCAAAATCAAATTGTTTGTACACTAGCACTTAATGAACGCTTTTTTATTGATTACACCAAGCATATAAGCAAACATGATAAGCAAACATGGTATTATTTTAAATTAAAATGTTTTAAGTTATTGTAGATATAGACGATGGATGACTTGTAAAGATTATATGATGATTCCAGTTGAGTATGCAATGTTAATGTTAATATTTATACGCCCCTCGCATATATTAATTGAACCGTTCGTCCGTGTGTCCGGGCGAACATCCAATGGTCGATGAGCTTCATTCCGTCCATAATTTAAGTTGAAATAAGGAAGAAATCCCATAAACCGACCGGTTAATGTGGTAATTGTTACTGGTTTATGGGGGTAAAGTGCAACATAAAGATCAAAGAAAAAGCACATCAACCCCAAATGTTGGCACGTCCGTCCGTCCGTCTGTCAATACAAGGTTAACCTTATACGGCAAGTCTGATTTTTCCAAAGTTCTACCTGTACAAATTGCTTCATAATTTACACACTTACTTACCAATACAAAGTCATATAACTATTTCTTCCATTTTCAAGTTATTGCCATTTTCAGCACTTTGGAAATGAATATGGTTGACCTAAATCGGCAAGTACGATTTATATAAAGTTCTATCTATACCAATCAGTTATTTCCCTTTTTATCACTTTTAGGGCCTTGTATGGTTAACCAATTTCCGACAAAACGGATTTATCTTAAATTTTTCTAATGACTTAATTTACATCATATTTTCCATTTTTGCTAGCTGGATACCTTTATGGGTCCTCTATTTTTTTGGAAATAAGGGGTCGATTGATTTTTACACTTTTGTCCATACAGCCTTTATTTTTTGTCTGATTTCTTTATATTTGGTAGGATGATAATTGTCATGGTCTTCTTCCTTTAGATTGAGATAGGGGTCAGTAGGGTCAAGATCACCAGTAATAATAATAGACATTTACTCATTTTGCCCATACTGCATTTTTATAGGCATACGTTTTTTATATTTGGTATGAAGATACCTTGCATGGTATTGCTCCTTTAAATTGAATTAAGGATCAGTGGGTCAAGGTCAAGTGTGCCAATGATATATTTCTACATTTGCTTTTAGTTTTTGACTGATGGTTTAGATATTTGAAAGGATGATAACTTGCATCCTTTAAATGGAGTAAGGGATAGTAGGGTCAAAATCGGCAATGCTAAAAGTAGATTTTTACACTTTTGTTCATACAACCTCTATTTATGAACAGATGTCTTTCGTATTTGGTAGGAAGATATCTTGCGTAGTCTTCTTTCTTTCGATTTAGTAAGGGGTCATAGGGTCAAGATCAGAGTGCAAAAAATAGATTTCTGCGCATTTGCTTATACAACCTTTATTTATAGACTGATGTTTTTAGCATTTGGAAGGAACATACCTTTGATGGTCCAGTGCTGAAAAATATAGGTTGGCAAGTCACTGCAAAGGCTTTTGATAAAATTGAAAAATATTCAAGTTACCAATAAAACTGTATCAAATACATGTATATATTACTATCGCAAGGTCAAAGTCACTTGAGCCAACAATAGATTTACAATAGATTACATTTTTTTTATAAATCCTTTGTATTATATTTTAACAGTGTCTCATATTTACAATGATCATACCTTAGGTGATCCTTTAAGTTTGGATGGAGTCGGGGTGACTGTAATCAAGGCTAAGTCTTGCAGTAATATATACATATATTTGATAACGTTTTATTGGTAACTGGAATATTTTTCAATTTTATCAAAAGTCTTTGCAGTGACTTGCCAACCTATATTTTTCACAATTACAAAACGCCATGAGTCTGTCAATTTATATCACTGTGTTTATAATGTTTTCGGCAATTTATTGTCCATAACTGAGTGAATTGTTAAACTTTATTTTGGAAAATTGTTACTGACAAGAATCCGAGCCGGGAGTATTTGTATTTATAACACGTTCTTCTTTTTATTTATTTAAGGAGCGCATACCAATTAAATGGGTGGCACCAGAGTGTATGGAATCTACTCGTGATGCAACAGAAAAAAGTGATGTTTGGTCATTTGCTGTAGTCTTGTGGGAAATATTCACCCTAGGTAAAATAATAATAACTAGTGTTTGTCTTCTTTGTTTGAATTTAGGATTGCTGTATATGACATGTATTATAGCCATCTGCTAAGATGCCTTTGATAATTTTTGTGAAGTAAATCATCATTTTTTTTAATATCTTCCTCATTGGTTTAAATGAGGGATCACTTTGTTTCCAGATTTTAAAAGTAGACAAACTAATCCGGATATAACGTCTTTTAAGTACAAGTAAATAAGTGACAGTGTATTTAACTATAAATAAATATTTATGTGTTAAAAATCATAGACACATCAGTTTTCAGTAAGAAAGGCTAAGTAAAATAAAAATAGAAATAAAGGAAACCATTCAGTGGTATTATTTTAAAAAGGCGTATTACATTGTATTTGTGAAATAGCAGCCTATATTTCACACCTTACAGAATGTAAACAATAAACTGCCAGCAATTGTACCATGTTATGGTCAAAAATAAATAATTATTGGTTCATATCTTATCAAGTTTACCTCGTTTTCATTTCCCGATTCCAAAATAGCTTTAAAGCATGCATATTGTACACATCTAGATTTCATTTTCCGAGTCCAGAAGTTCCATATCAAATCCGTAGTGTATTCGAAGTATTCGAAGTTACTGTCACTTTAATATACATTTATATATTGTCTTTTAACAGGTGACACGCCATATCCAGAAAACAAAGGAAATGATCTTCATAAACGACTGAAGAAAGGAGAACGTTTGAACAAACCGGAACAATGTGACGACACGTAAGATATTCTGTTTCACATAATAATAATAATAAACTCTCTCTTTCACTTTCTCTGGCAATATTTAAAGTTATAATTAAGCTTATAAAGTAATAAACTATGTATTCAATTCTCAATATGTACCCTGAGGTTCCTTTTTTTATTCCTTACCGTATATAAATATTCGCCCAGTTGTAATTAAAGTATTCGAATATTGCAGATGGTATGCCGTCATGAAGAAATGTTGGTCGTATGAACCAAGCAAAAGACCAAAGTTCAAGTCTGTTAGACAAGAACTGGACAATCTTTTCGTTGCGGCACCTGGTGATGACTACTACTTTTACAAGCGATAAATGATTGAGCGGTGTGTGGAGTTTTTACAAATGTAATTAACTGATTCAACTGCAGCATATTACAAATATACAAAATAATGATACAAATGAAATAAATATTTGACAATATGCATACATATTATAATGATTACAATATTAAAGTTTTTGTATTGACGTTAGTATATGTAGATATAACAATTAGTATGACAATGACTCTTTATGTTTATACTAATTATTTTTTAAACAAAAATGGTTATGGGACCAAATGTACCTTGAAATTTAAACTGCGCTTGTATGATATAAATTTTAACTAAGATAATAGATCTACCTTATTTGATAATCACAAACTTAGTTCAATATGATAATGTTTCATTTACACAATAATAATTAAGTAATTAAGATGCACGTATGATTAGGCAAGTAACAACTATAGATTTGTGTTTGTTACTCATCACTTCTGACCAGCACTAAATTAATATTCAATATGTCTTTAGGTGTACAAAACAAATGGTCAAGACCGGTGTAGCTGTTTGATCAGTTTAAATTGGTAAATGCGTGCTAATGAACACTAACCAATTAAGTGTTTAAAATCGGTTTTATAAAAAAATTATTTGAAATACTGCAATCCTATTGGACAATAAAGTAATTTTCAACACTAATTCAAACTTATGTTGATTTAATCTGTCGCGTTGCTACGCCGTGCAAAACAGATTTAATTTCTTTAATAGTGAGTCACTGACACAAATCTATAGTAGATACAAGTTAAAAGTTTTATTCGTTCAAACCAATAATGTTGTTAAAAACATTATGATGTATGTGCATACATTAATTGCTCTAAGATGTAAACACGTAATCACCAATTATTTTTCATTTCAATACATGTGCTTTTTATGCTTTCCGAAGGGAGAGCATATAGTCGCCGCCTTGTCTGTCCGTCCGTCCGTCCGTTGTCTTGTTCGAAGCATAACTTAAAAACCCACGGAGATAATTTGTTTAAACTTCACACAGTGGTAGAGGACATCGAGGCGGAGTGCAGTATAAAGAACCATGACTCTATTTTGTCCCGATTTTGAATTATCTCCGCTTTTGGGAAAAATCTTTGTCGGGACATAACTCTAAAACTATATGAAATATATATCAACATGAAACTTTGTAGATAGATAGATCACAATGGGTAGCTGTCCAGTGCATAAGAACCCTAACTCTGCTTTGCCAAAATGTTGGAGTTATTGCCCTTTAATTATTTTGCACTTTGAACATTTTCCGGGATATTACTCTAAAATTATCAGAGATATCAACATGAAATTTTGTAGGTCTCTAGATCTCATTAGGTACAAGTACATTGCAAAAGAACCAAAACTCCGATTAGCCCTGTAATTGAATTATCTCTCCCTTTAGAAAAATCTTGTCCGAGACATAACTCTTATGATAATTAGAGATTTCATCATGAAACTTTGTATGTAGATAGATCTCAAAAGGTAGATGTACAGTGTACAAGAAACGTTATTTGCCTTGCCTTATTTTGGAGTTATTGCCCTGTGTTCATTTTTACATTTTAAACTTTGTCAGGGTCATAACTAGGAAACCATTACAGGTATCAACAAGACACTTTTTTAGTTTTTTTTTGTGTTTTTCACTTTTTTAAGAAAAAAACGTTTATTTCTGATTTAGATGACCCTAAACATGCAAATTTCCAAAATGAAACTGTAACAATTTTTACAGTACACTTTTTTGTTTGTTTAATTCCTATGGTAGATAGGTCTCATTTATTAGGAGTCCAGTGCAAAGAACAGTTGCTCTGCATTGCTTTATTCTGGAATTATTGCACTTTGAACTTTGCCCACGGAAATAACTCTGAAACTACAAGAGGTGTACTTTCCAGTGTCAAAAACCCTATTGGGAGAGCATCATCTGGCTCTAACTGGTCTCTTGTTTAATATAAAGCTCTGTATTACTTAATATATAAATGTTTTGTATTATACTGTATTTTGTAAATTTGAATAAGCTTTGAATTTATTATGTTATTTTAAATGAACACGATCTTAGTTTAAAGATTCATGACTCAAGATGAGCAAAAATCTTTTAAGAAAGTCAAAATTGAGAAAAATGTATAAAGATCTAAAGAAAAGTGAAAAATTCAAATTCAGTTATTAATTTGCATGTTTTGACTGTTTTTGAGGTAAATATCACCATAGTTCTACTGCTTGACTAATACAGTGCGGGCTATTTTTGCATATTTTGACCTGCTTTTGGGAAAGAACTTTATGTGGATTAAAATTGCCATTTGCAATGTGTAAGTTACTTTACAATATTTAACGTTTAAGGTTTTTATTAAAATTAGCATGAATCTGGAGGCGTGCAGCTCTAAGTGTTAAATCTTAGTGTTTATATATGATGTATATATTTTTGTAAATATTCATGACTACAAATATATATGCTTGCGAACGTTTCCCCTTTTCCAGACCTTATTGACCATTTGAGCAGCGCCATGGCAACACCAACATAATGCGTTTACAACCAGCATGGATACAGACCAGCCTGCGCATCCGCGCAGTCTGATCAGGATCCATTATCTTTGCTTACAAACCCTATACAAAGTAGAGAAACTGATAGCGAACAGCATTGATCCTGATCAGACTGCGAGGATGCACAAGCTGGTCTGGATCCTTGCTGGTCGCATTATGATATCGTAGATGTTGCATGTAGGAATACTGTTCTTTATTGGTTGAGCTTAACCATTTAATGCAAATAACAATTTAAATCATCATGGGGCGCTATTTAAAATTATACTTAGAAATTGGAAAAGAAGGTATTTGACTCCATTGGAAGAACGTCTGTTGTTGTATGAATGGTATTACTTCATTTGTCATATTTATTTTTCAGCTTACCAAATAATTGTATAAAATAGATGTTTCAACATTTAAAATGGAATGGAAGACAAAAAGCTTAAAAGTAAAATGTCTGCTGTAATCAAAGCTTTTGATTTTGGTGAAATTAAAAAATAATAGATATTAGATTATATATGGTTAGTTTCAAAAGAAAATAGTTCAGAAATTGTTCTATAGTTAGTAAATGTTAAAATCATGTACAAATATCTTGTGTTGTTAACAAACTCATAAATTTGACTTAACTGTATTCTTATAAGATTTGTCACTCAACTCGAAATAAATTTTGAAAGATTTCATAAATGCATGTGCAATATACATTGACACCATGAATGTAGATGCTGTTGAATAAGTTCAGCTCGACTATTCATGCGTCTATTAAGTTTTATTTGCAATGTACTAATATCTCATCAATCATTTTAAAATATGTGCTTAAATCTTCACACAATCATTTGAGTTCATTATAAGATAACTATCCAGTGCACATGCAACATCAATCTTCAAAACTACTTACACAAATCAATCTTCAAAACTATTTAAGGTATTCACTTTGTCAACCAGTCCCCAATGTTCATTGATCTTGGCATGGATTTTGACAGAATTGTGGCCCTTTTTGACCTTAGAAAATTCTTGGTAAAGGTTTTGTATGCAATATCAACAACTGATGGTATCAATTCGAAACTTCATAATGTATTCGTGATCGTTAATAGAGGGTCATTGGCAAAGGACCATTAGTTTTGGAATGAATTGTGGATTGAATATAGCCCTTCGTGAATATTTCTTTGGTCAATATCCAAGACTCTTAATTATATATGACATGTATCTTTTCAATGTAATATCTTTTTGCTAATTCTTGCATTGTACAGACACTTGTGTAACTATCAAACACTTACAATAGTCGAGCGCGCTGTCCTACACTTATAACAAATACCATGAAGAAAAAACAATACGACAAAGGAATACTTGATGTTTAAGATATAGTCAATGATGAAGGAGATATGTTTACTTTAAAGGAATATATATAAATGAATTGTAATCCATAGTTGGAAAGAAGTTTATCCTTTCAGTGTACTAGAATTTATTAACGCATTCACATTGATGTTTAAAAGTTCAATCCTGAAATAAACAGGGTTTTGTCACTTTACAAACAAATGCCTTACTTTATTAGCTGAAATAATTCCTGTTATCTACAGTAGTGGATGTGAATGGAACAAAGTGATGTCTTTATTGTCTTATATCAAGATAGTTGTGCTTTTTTTGTAAGGATCAGAAATAATAGTTTGTAAATATAGCATATACTTTTCTTGGAATATAAGAAATATATTTTCTAGGAAAGAGATAAGGTAGCTCCTACAATTTCAAGCTTGACTTAGTTAATAATTGGCCAGTGAACATAAACATAGAGACATTAGTGAACATGAAGGTTATTGTTAGATTATCGTGACATTATATAGTTTATATAGCTTAATTTATTGGAAAGTTTTATAGAGTATTTAGAAGCTTAGAAATATAAAGAACTATACAAATATACTTGTGTGTGTTTTACACTGCTGTTATCTACATCAGAATGCTTTTCGTAAAATGTTAACTGTGTAATGTGTTGACTGTTGAATGTGCAATAAAAATAAAATGAAGATGCAGTGTTGTTCACGTCAATTTCTTTTTTTACATCGAACTAGTACCTCTACATTACGTTGTGGTGCGGACACACTTAGACATTTAATATTTCAATTGCGTTGATTTTGAAAAGATTTGTCTAGCTTTTCCATTATTCACAATTTTAGTTCGAATAGTTTGAAATACTTTGATTCCTAAACATAAGTTACGTACGTGTTATGCTATATTTCATTAAATGAGATACTAGACGAGTGAACAGCAACTTTTCCTTCGAATCCCGATAAAACATTCTTAATTTTTGGAAAGTGAAAGTAAAGCAAGTAAGTTTGTTGATAGTGTCTATGAAGTATTGAAAACTAATTCTAGTGTCTTGAAAAGTATTTACATTTACTAATGCGTGTACAACCCAAAGGGAATAGGTGTTGGATAGTGTAAAAAAGTAATTCTAAAAAGTATATACTATATAAAATTAAATATAGTCAAGGGGATGAACTCGCCGAATCGGCCGAATGCCACTAGTTCATTTTAAGTCAAAATTACAAAGTCATTCTTACGTAAATCATATTAAGCTGTATATCAAATTGCATCTAAATGACATCTCTAGACGTTGACAATAACATAATCGTCCAAACTTAAACCGTTTTTGGACAACAAACCGATATTTCGGATGGAATATCGTATTTTTGCCAGGTCGGACACAACCGTGCAACCTGTCCCCACTTGATTTTTAACGTGCGTGTAAAAACGCAATTCCGAACCATATCACTTTGGTACAGACAAAACAAGCGAATACTGAGAAAAAGCCTAACTGACTTAATTAAATGTGTTATTAAAGTGACTCAGATTAGTTATATTATATATTGATAGCTATCAGAATTGTTCAAACACTTGTCCTGCAAAACTCGAAGAATACAGTGCCACGTAGAACATTTTTCTCGTCATCTGGGATGCAATTTTGATACGAAATACAAATAAAATGAAGTGGCTAGAACTTTTACCAATTATTAACTCGTGTATTTCTATAACATTGAGACTCAAACTTAATAAATTTTTTACCGTAAGGTAAATGGTTGTCCAAATTTATCGTGCATGGAACATAATCCTAACCTACCCGTTGGCTAATATTTTACCGGGCTTGGTTAAAAATGAAATATTAACATTTTTTTAAATGTAATTGAGCCATTGACACAGTACTGGCGCCATCGGTGATGTGAGAGCCCTCGCAAATTTTGATATTGTTAAATTTCATGGACTACAGAATCACCAAATTGAATGAGAAAGGTTCTTTAATATCTACTTCACCGCTATATATATATGTAAAAGTATAAAATGCGTTATTTTCCTTCACTGATTGGATAAATTTTAAGTAAAAAATCAATGTTCTTTTTAATGTTATCCTTGGTGTAAAATTTTACAAGTAAATGTAAAAATAGTGTCTTTGATATACCAGATTATTTAATTTGCGTTTCAAAACTTGGTCCTTGGATGCATATTCTTTTATTGGTTTTCGCCGGTTTGGTGCGGTTAAGATCTTTCTTAGATTCAATGTTCATGTTTGACAGTAACTAGTGTTGCATTGCATTGGATGAATTTACTTTTAATTTTTAATCTGTTTTGTCCACCGCCAATATCCCACAATATAGATTTAATTGAAAGTCTGTATTGGCTCCATCACATTTGCCAATCGCAGTTTTTCGACCCTTTCCGTAAGTCTTCGGATAAGGACCTCGAAAACAATATTATGAATACACACAACGGATACGGTATTTCGGTCTAATCTACGCTAAGAAACTAAAAATGTGAACAAATAAACAAATATAAATTTCATGCTGGAAGTTGCTGACAAGTTTATTTCCAATATATCAAGTAAAAATCCACCTGATAAGTGAATTCATAGATACAAAAGCAAACAATGAATTATTTACATATTTATTGTTATGGTTGTAGAAACCGAAAATACAATATATCAACCTATTGACATTAAGTCGAATTTATTTAAAATTGTACATGAGTGGGCATCTTCAAATTAAAACTGGTTGTGTTATCAGACATATTTGCAATCATAATTGTACCGAAACAGACTTAATTTTCCTTTGGATGTCAATATATTCAATCGTTTTACATTATTGAATATAACACTCTCTGTTTCTGTTTACATTTGAAACCACGTTTTGGAACTACTATCAATAGGTTACCATAGAATGTAGCCGAGGACGTTCTGATTGTACATTTGCTAGGGCTCTTTCACATTTCCGATGGCGCCAGCACCTTGTTGCTGGCTCCATCAAATTTAAATAAATGTTTTTTTTTATTTTATTTTTTTCCAAGGTCTTTGAAATATTTATTGTGTAGAGCCAAATGTGAGGCAGGCAAAATGTTGCATCCAAGATAATGTGGATCAACATTAACTTTACGATAGAGAAATCATGCAAGTGGTGTTCTCTCTGAGAGAAAACAAAGAGTTGATTTTTAAAAGTTCTAGCAACGTCATTTTGGAGTTTCTTATCGAAATGGCATCAAAATGATGAGAAAAATATTTTACGTGGCATAGCATTCTTTGAGTTTTGAAAAACAAGCACTTTTAAAATCTGATATTTTAGAAATGCCAATGGCCCTAAACGATAGTGTCGAGAGATCTCATTTAAATATATCACCGACAAGTGAAAGAGTCAATGTTTCGTAGTATAAGGTTAATTGGGTCCTCTATTTTACATAATTATATCATAATTACGCTTTCTACATGAAGGAATAATATAATTTGGACGCAATATCACAGTACAATCTGAGCAATCTTATTTTGGCGTCCAGTTTACAGTCGAATGACCGATTAGCGTAGCGAATAGATCAAAATTAATGCCGTTATTGTAAGAATTGCTTTTATCAATTTTCATCATATTAAGAGCCATTTCAATATAAAGAATGTTACCTATGCAAGTGTGATAATATGTCTATTATTTTCACTGGACAAAAGCGATCAACAAGACAAAATAACGGTGCAAGGGCCTGATTAGACGAAGAGATAACGCTAGTATATCAATCTCTGAAGATGGCAGGCTTACTGCAATTCATATACATTTAAAGCAATGTGTATATTGTGTATATGTAAATACGATTTTTATTATATACCAATGCAAGCTTAGCTTACACGTCTCAAATAATTCTGTATAGAATGGCATACCGACATGTACTTTTATCACTTTTATTCATGATGATTGTATTTCATAAGATGTACATGTGATTTGGACTATGTTAAAGAACAAATTTCCTTCAACCAACTATGATCAGGCAAACATGCTTATAACAAAAGTGTATGTTGTTTGATTCCTCCCTATAATAGCTTAAATACAGTAAACGGGAGTAGTGTCTAAGTGTTACAGGTATCTGCGCCCTTATTTTGGCTTTGTTTTTTTTCTTTTGTTCGTATAAATTAAGTACGGGTTCAAGGTCTAAAAGTGTACTGAAATGTTTTCAAAATTTTCTCTCAATTAGGCGAAAATATGTTTCGAATAAATGACAGTCTTAAATAGATGTATATAGTGTATAATGATAAAACCTTAACTAACCCCTTAATGCAATATAAATAAATGTACAACAGAAATTATATACATGTATAACTTTATCTTGTAATGACATAAATGTTAGGGAGATAAAGCATGTATATTATAATATCATATGAAACTTGTACATGATATATTTGATATCTGAGTTATATCTGACAATAATTCGGAGTACATAAATGTATATCATAACAACGATATGTAAAACTGATCCTGTCTTAATATATACGTTATATGCGTGGTGTAACAATGAATTTTTAACGGGCAGATAATCTGTTCAATATCTTTATGATCAATACGGTAGCATTATGTCCCCTGTCTTATATTGTAATAAGGAGTTATAATTGGAATACTTCCATACTATAGATATATCATTGAAAGAAATACATAAGTTAAGCTCCATTTTGTATATTTTTATTTTCTCTCCCAAAATAATCTACGCACTCTTATAAGTATTTGTTCTAATTAGAATGTCTTTCCGTTGTCAGATTATTTTTCATCTTTAGAAGAATGTGATATGCTTATGATTATACATGTACTGACTGTATTTTGGTGTTAAAGTATGACAATGTATTAAATGTAATTTTCTTTAATGCATGCCTAAACAGTATTGCCTTTCATCCACCAACGAACGAAAAACAGGCTAAGAAAGATCGGCATTAAACAGACGTCCCTGACGAGACTTCTAGAATAATCCGGCATTGACGCTGAAATCTCGGACATATGGAATTATGGAAAATGAGCCAAAAAAACTCAAAACATGCACACAATGTTACGTAACAAAAATACATCTCTCCAGACAAATTATTAAAATATTTATTACTCTTGCCCTCGTACAACTGATCAAAAATCTAAATATCTATGGGGATAGTTATAAAATACAAAGAGAGAAAAGAAATAGTTTATTTCGTTATCTTATACATTTACAACAACTCATTACATACAGTATTTAATACAATAATTCTGTGGTCACATGACAAAAGCAAAGAAAACAAAAATGATAAAAAGAAGGATATTAAAGGTTTAACTCATGACACTCTAGAAAATTTGTTTCAAACGGAAATCAGACATTTGCAATAAAGTGAAAAAGAAAAGATCATCGCTACATCAATAACATTCATAGAAATGAAGAGTTCTAGGAAATAAAAAAACAACAACAAAAAAGGGATGTACAAATACAACGGCGTCAAAGTATAGTTTTAAAAATATGCATAGTAATTTGTACCTAATTACATTAAAAAGCGCATTATGTACTGGTAGTGACAGTTCTTGTCTCTTTTTATTGGCTACATCTATATATTTTCCTAGTTTTATTTTCTGATTGTTAGGAATCATAGAAGATCTAATATAGTAAAATTACGCTTGATAGATCTTCTTCGAATATCTTGATAACATGAAAAACTAAAATGAAATGATATTCATCTTCAATTTCTTCAGTTAAGTTACTTGATTGGCAAATATAATCTTTCATTTCTTTGTATTCTATTATGTCCTATCTTCCGGATTCAATCCTTAAGTTATGGACAGATATTCAAATTCTACAAATATTCATACGTATACCTTTGCAATTAATATTTCTTACATATGGTCCCAGACAAAAGTCTGTTTTGATATAACTATAAAAATTTGTTTATCACGATATTATTTCCTATGGCTGAATGCCATTTTGCTTAAAATAATCAGTAACTGCTTAAGTTCAGTCAAAAGGAAACTACTTTTGATAATACTTAATAAGAAAATTCTAAACTTCACATGTTATATTGTCATCAACACTTGTCCATGCGATGCATGACATTATAAATATATAAAGAGTTCTGTTATATATTTGTTGAAATTATTGAAATTAGTGTTGGTCAAATTTAATTATCTGTCTATTTTTTTTTTTCACTTTTTTTGGAACATGCCCATACAATATTGACACCCGCCTTAAAACAGGTATATTACCAGAACAAAAAAATGAACATTAAATGAATTCTTCAAAAGTCATTAGAAAATTGCTAATTTAACTGTAATTGATCCAGTAAACAGCTGCCTTCTTCTTCTGTCACTTGTACAGCATGATTATTTCTTGTAAAAGTAGTAGTCGTCACCAGGTGCCGCCACGAAAAGGTTATCTAGTTCTTGTCTAATGTCGAAAAATGTTGGTCTCTTGCTAGCTTCGTAGGACCAACACTTCTTCATGGTCGCATACCAACTGTTGAGTTTACATAGAAATATATTTAGGTTTTTTATATAAAGATATTTTAACTCCTTACTTTATAAGATTGACTTTCTTCAATTCTGTGCTTTTTTTGCATTAAAATCAAAAGCAAATGTCAGACAACTAATAATACCAATATTATGTATATCATGAAATCAAATGACAATTTTTTTAAGTGGATTTTTGTTTAATAGCATAAAAGGCAATATATCTTACGTGTCATCACATTGTTCCGGTTTGGCCAAACGTTCTCCTCTCTTAAGTCGTTTCGGAAGGTCAGTTCCTTTTCCAGTGTAAGGCGTGTCACCTATTATACACATTAATATTCGTGAGGTAAGAAAGAAATAAGATTTATCGTAAAAGAACACTATAATCTTTTTCAATTAACAGTTACTTTATTACAATAACTTTGTTTACCAAAACAGCAAAGCTCGGAATGCACGAGACAGATGAAACATATGTAAAGGGAGATTAGGCAATATCAATAGGTGCTGTTCAATAACATGCATTGTCTCCCCTGGTCTCTATCTATGACTTATCCCACGTAAGACAAGATATATTTTCTCGCAAGTCTGTCATCTTCATGTAAGCTTATTAAACCTTTTTGGTACTTCTGCTATGATACTATTTTCCTAACATATTAATGAGATTTTACAATTCACCTTATGTTTTCTGCTTATTTTCAGATTAAGTCCTAGAAATATATTTCATAATGACACAATTAATGACCGATTAATATATAAGCATATATTCTAAAAGATATGTTATATTTATTACCAAGAGAGAATATTTCCCACAACACGACAGCATAAGACCAAACATCGCTTTTCTCTGTTGCGTCATGGGTTGATTCCATGCATTCTGGTGCTACCCACTTGATTGGTATGCGCTCCTGAAATTGTTCAACTGATTGTACAAATTATAGTTTAACCTGGTCTCCTGTTTTTAATATCTTATTCAAATGTATATTCGTATTACGTGTGCTCTTCTTTGAAACAAAATAGCTCCTTCGATGACCGTTAAATGGCCCTTATTTTTCTCTGTTAAAACAAATATTTAGTGAATGACTGTATAAAGTTAATTCTTTACATTTACATTAGAATATCTTGAAATATGCATACCCTTTTCCCTTTCTCCGCATCACCACCATTTTCCTCCGAAGGTTGTGGTCCAAATCCAGCAATTTTAACCTCATTCAGGCATGTCACGAGAATGTTTCTAGCAGCCAAACGTCGATGTACAATCTTTATTAAAGATATGATTATTATATATATTTAAACAATGCATTATCATTCATTAAATAATTCGTATAATTCTGTTGTGGTTATAACGGCTCAACATTTCATGATAATAGTGATAAACTGTATACCTTTATAGTTTCATAAGTGTAAAGTTTTCGGCAAAACAAAAAAATAGAATATACCGACACGCTTACATATGGTATGTGTCGTGTATATAAACTCTCAATCAGAAATGATATCTTAAAAAAATTACCCCTTTTCCAGCAAGATATTCCATTCCTTTTGCAATATCAAGACCAAATCTGAATAGATTTTCTTGTAAATCCATGGTAATGTTGTTCTTACGCTCAACTAAATAATCCCTCAATGTTCCTTTCTCACAGTATTCCAAAATGATAAATGGTCCCACTACAATGAAAAGAATTTGAATAGAATTAATAAATTAGGCTGAACCAAAGCACATGCCAAAAATATCGATCAATTAGAGTTACATTCTTGAACGTTGCATTTAAATAATTAGTGAAATTTGAAATATTTCATTTGAATCTTTAGTTGCTATACTATATATAACGATTTTCTTATATGTATACCTATACAATGTACTTTTATTTACCATGAAAAATGGATAAGGTTAAATTAAATGTACCCTTACTCGCTTAAGATAATATAACTTCATTTGGTTAGAATTATATGTTCAGTATCTTTAAAAAAAAAATATAGAAATTCCACGCACTTGCATCATCATGTACAACAGCACCAATAAACGTTAGGACATTAGGATGTTTTTCCAGTTTTGTACCAGCAAAATTTATCTTAGCCTTCATTAATAACTCGTCTTCAGAGGTAAACCTTTCTACAATAACAGAAAAGGTAAACTGTTTTTATTAAGTATGTTTTATGATACAACATTTGAATATTTTTTACATGCAAAACAAATTTCAATACTATCTAAGAACAATACTATACGACAAAAAATTTGTGTTTTCCGTGTGCATTTTTCGGATGTGAGCTATTGCCGTGTTTTGCTTAGTTGAAAATCAGTTTTCGGAGAGATATTGTCAAGTTATGCTGAGTCGAAAATCTGTATATTTGGACAGCTATTTTTGAGTCATGCTTGGACGAAAATCGATCAAAGAGTAAAAGATGTCGAGCTATCTTTATTACCTTTCAAAGTTTTTGCTACAACAACATCCCCTGAACCTCTTCCTGTTTTAAGTTTGGCTTTATATATGTTGGCAAAATGACCACTTTTGATTAAAGTTTCAAATATGACGTCATCTCTGTTAATATGCCAAATTTGTGGCGTTCCCATGTCCATTCCACCATAGATGTATAATTCGCTCTGTCGATTCTAGCAAAAATTTAATACATAAACAATAAAACACATTAAGCTTTCTGAAGAAGTTATTGTATTGTTTTAGCGATTTAGTTTTATTAACAATGTAGTTCCTTAAACTTAATAGTTATTGTACATTTTATTTACACGTGTGTTTTAATTTTAAAACTTGTATTTTGCAACTTTACATCTGTTGGAATGAAATTATAAAATAAAGTATGGTTTGCGTCTGTTTGAAGCTAGATGATATCAAATATCTCATACGTCATATGCTACATTTCGTGAACGTGAACCGCCTTGTCTCGGACCATCTAGATCCCCGTACACTGTTTTTCTAACTTTTCTGCTGACAGCTCTTCTTACACTCTCTGCCTTTTGAGCAGGGTGTATATAGCCCCGTCGAACCAGGAGCACCATTATTATCACAACAATAACAATGAGCGCCAACATGGCTGAAAACATCAAAAACTAATTCATGAAAACAATCATTTTATGAAATATTCGTCATGATGGGTTTCGTTCAATAAATATTCAATCATTTATTTGTTTTCTTTGAGTTCCTTATCAGTTACTAATTATTTCTTCTTATGTATGATTTTATTGATTAACCTGTCCATGCTCTGCCTTGTGTCCTGCTCTGTTTTTGTTTTGGGTCCTTCTTGGCTCCTTGCCACTGGCTCTTGTTGCTTGGGGGTTGCTTTCATTGAGCGCAGCCTTTCCTTGTTGATCTTGTTTATCATATTTTATCAATATCAAGAGATGTTTACAGACGACACAAATTTATCATGGTAAGATTCTTTATTTGAATTATACATGTAGAGTATTATGGAGAGTTATAAACACATTTCTTATAGATTAAAGTGAAACTTACAAAGAGTAACTCCTACAATAACTCCGGTACTGCTTCCAGTGTCGCCGGCATCCGGTGCAGCTGTAATAAAATCAGGTAAGTAAATTGATATGTATCAAATATCAATACCAAGGGCTAACTTATTGAATTGTTGAGTTTACTGTCTTTGAATCAAAGACAAACTATTGAAAATATTTGTAGGAAAAATATTAACAAATGTCTGAAAAATGTTTGAACATTGATAAAACTGATAACAGTAAAATGACGAACAGATATTTTGACATAAGTATTAAGTCATTATTAATTTCCCTTACATATTTATATAATTATTGAACTGATGAGATTCAGTGAGAAATAAAGTTAAGCATGTAACGACTACTTGAAAGAAAGTATAAACAAAATATCTCTTACGTGTTTTTACTTTTAATGATACACCTGTTGACTGCACACTAGAGGCGTTTGGCATTTTCAATTCGAAATTAATGAGGTATTCGGTGACAGCATCCAGACCAAGTATATCGAAGAATTTTGCTGTTCCAGGAGCATAAAATGTCTGGAGTTTGATTTCCTCGTTGGCTTTCTGTAAATACAATAAAACGTTATTTCTATATGTGAAGGCAGAACACAGTATTGCTTTATATAGAGAAACACTTACAACTGGTATCCTAAACTCATGACATGACGTTCAAAGACAATACGTATACTTTGGTCAATACGGAAGGTCAAGGTTTCTTTATATGCAACAATCAATTCTATGTTAACACTCCTGCTACATACATCATTGATTTACATGTACAATTATCATGAGGACTGAACTGTCCACTCAAGACAGGCTATAATCTCGGAACCTTAAAGATGTAGGAATACATTTTAGATCTTCACATGTAAAATGCAAGAACAACAAAATCTAATCTATAGGTCACTGCAAACTTTACAAAACAATAATACCTTTTTCCGATTTCGATCCATTTTATGAGTGCGACCTAAGGCTGTACAGTCAAAGAAATCTTTGACATAATAACAAATTTTAAATTGTATTAGCATTCAGGGTTGGACGCTACAATCAATTATGTGAGTTAAACATTAATAAGTTTGCAATGAGTGGCATTTCATGCACAAAGAATTAATAGCTTGGCCCTGACGGAATTTGAACCCTCTTCACCATTAAACCTTTAGAGACTACAAGTCCGACATATAAAACACACGGCCATGCCTCAATGTTTATGAATTATACTAGTACTGATTTTAGAATAATTTCCATATTTATGGACAAAGTTTGGAAATATATTGACTATGTTGTCTGTTTTGTTACAAAAACATACAGGACATCACAGCGTTACCTTTCTAAGAAGTACCAAAACAATTTCAGCTCTGCCATAACAGGAAGTTTTCTCTGGAAGATCCCAAGCGACCCGAAATCCTGACGAAGTAGGGGATTCTATGCGTATGTTTTCAGGGCCGCTATCTAAATTTGAAAGCATACTATTTAAGAGAGATTTCAATCTATAATAATTTAAAAGAATATATTCTATTCAAGATTATTAAAAATAATTGAATTGTATCAAACAATATGTCAACTAGTGCATAAAAGGTGTCTAATAGCATTTGAGCCTCGTCACGACAAAACCAACATAGTGCGTTTGCGACCAGCATGGATCCAGACCAGCCTGCGCATCCACGCAGTCTGATCAGGATCCATTCTGTTCGCTTACCAAGCCTATTACAAGTAGAGAAACTGATAGCAAACATCATGAGTCCTGATCAGCATGCGCGGATGCGTAGGCTGGTCTGGATACATGCTGGTCACAAATGCACTATGTTGGTTTTGTCATGACGCGGCTCATTTATTATTTTGAATAAAGGGGCGTCAATGGTCTAGTGGTTAATGTTGTTGACTCGCTTGTCCCTCACCGCTGTGTATTTTTCGTGTCAGGAAGCAAGATTACGGAACTTCGGTGGTTCTACTCAGGTGCCCATTCGTGCCTGAGAAAATAAAACATATTGAAGGACACCTGAGGTATTCCTCCACCAGTAAAGCATGACCTGTGACATACTGTGTTGGTGTCATGTAAAACCAAACAAAAAAAAAGAATGAAGATTGTTTTACATGTACACTCACATTTTTCAAGCCCTTGAAGTTTGTTCACTGCACCGACCTGGATAAAGAAACGATAGAAAAAATATCATAATCAAAATGTTTAACATATTTGTCTCATTGTTTTGTAATTGCAATAATGGATATGCAGTATTTTGTACCGATTGTATATCTTTTTATTAATTTCTTTGATATATTTCTTTTCAGGCTTCCTTTTTAAAAAAATTTTATCGATCTTATTGGTTTATTGGTTCCTACTTGTCCTGAATAGTAAAGTGATTATTTCGTTGACTCACATCAAACATCGTGGATCTGGAGAGCAGCGCTTGGTTATATGCGGTAACTTCAACAGAAGCTGTACTACTATCTAGATCACTCTTACTGACCAAAAACCAACAGTTGTCCAAGTACAAGGTCTGCTTTGGTATGAAACACATGTTTTCTACGATATCACACAGAGGATCATTCATGTTCTGGAAAAAAATGAAAAGATCAACACGGGAAAGTAACATTCACTAAACGCATCCCCCAACAACACCCAATCGCACATGACTATCGGCTATGGCACCCTGCAGAAAACCATCATACTGTTACATCATACGTCTCTAGAAAAGCAAAATGTAAATTATTCCGGTAATGATTTATCATTTACTGTGAAAAATAATATTATTTGCTGTGAAAAATAATATTATTTGCTATCTTTACCTAATATTTAACAATCTCATTTCGTTGTTGGTGTAATAAATGCTTATGGCTGTTTTTGTTATAGTTACATGATCATAATTGTAATAAATATTAATATTTGGCATGTTCTCGCAACTAAATTTTTACAAGCAAGACTTACATCAGACATGGCCGCTGGTATAAAACCTTCATATGTTTTTCTAGGCTGTTGATTACCAGTTTTGACTATGATAGAAAATCCAATTTTATGAACTCCACTTTCAGCGTCTGCTGCAGTGAAATCAGCCCTGAAATACGTGTACAACAAGCCGACTTTTAATTGACATTCAAACAATAATATATGATATTAGATAAATTCTGGTTAAAATAAAGATCTCATAGATTTTATGCATGAACGTCATTGTAGCAAAAATATAGATTTTATAGATAAAGATATTACAAAATGTTTATGTAAAACTTGATAAAGCTTGATATTACCACCTTCATTTGTGTGAAAACATACACAAAACAATATTGACAAGAATAACAAACAGATTCATCCTTTTGTTTTCTCCATAACATATGTAACAATACATAGATATTTAAATGTAATATTTTTTTTAATACATTCATTACCTCGATGTGTAATTATACTTTGATTTTTCTATGTTTGGTTCAAATTTATGATCATCTCCGCTTTGAGTGGATATGAGTGGTGGCGTTTTATCGAAAGTAACAACTGTACTATCAGATTTCACATTGCCCATAATGTCTGTTGCCCGGACCCAAACACGAACTCGGCTTCCTGTTAAATGACATAAATAATTCTAAGATAATGCTGTTTCTCTTTTTCGAATCAAATTTATATTTTATATAATTATAGAATAGGTGCGAAGTTGTTTTATTTTCTTAAAAGAACCAGAAAATTGTCCTACACTTTAAAGGTTTGTAGTTTTTTTATAAAAAATATTCGCTTTTTTTTGTTGCACATTAAACAACAGGTTTTTTCCCTTAGAAAACAATTATATTACGTAAAACTGTACTTTACAAATTAATCCAAAAATCAGATATGTGTTATGGAAATATACATGCATTCAGAAATGCCTTTCAATTTAAACACAAGTAAATATTGTTCAAACTTATAAGGTAGGTATGAGTTTTATATAGAATAAATTATGTTATGTTCTAAAAGTATGTTAAAGAAAGAAATTTATAATGGTTAGTTTATAATATGTAATTGCTACGTATAAAAAATAAATTTTAAATTTGCCGTTTCTTTCTCTCTCTTTTTTTAAGAAAAAATGAACAATTTTCATCTATCAGATACTGATTATTTCTCGTTCTCGTTGCTCGTCAGTAGCCGATACATATGAAACATTAATAATAAAGTTCGCCTCTCTTTCAGCATCTTTTTCCCCTCAAATCAATACAATATTAAAGTTTAAAACACAGCTAATTGTTCACCGCTGCATGCCGTTTCCTTTATCATTTAACAGAACAATTTACATGCGGGTAAGAAATAAGTGGTGTATATTATATACCATCAGCAAGCTTTAAATGCAGTGTTGTGTGTTCTTTAAATGGCTCCACTAGTGACCAACCAATCTGTGGTTCCTTTTCATCTAAGGTCAATTCTTTTGCCCACTCAAATTTAACAACTCCATGAAAGTTTTTAATGGCATCTCGTTGTCTCTTTCCTTCATGGTCGTCCAGGGAATCATTCACATATCTATAAAAACGAAATAGACCTTCGTTTTCAATCTACTACATGGTGCAACGTTAAAGAAAATGACAAATTATATGTTAACATAATTAAAGGATTTATGCACTGTGCATCATGCGTTTGTTTTAACCGTGTTTTACCTTATAATATCAAAAGTACTAAATTACAACACGACATCTACAAACCAGAAGAAAGTGAAAACAAAGCAGGTGCCGAGATTTTCCTCGTAGGAATGTGTCTTTTTCTTAATCTTCAAGGATTAACATGCATGTATTTTAATAACGAATTACGCATATAGATTATACTGATTCAAATAGCATTTTAAGAAATATGATGTTACTTTTGACTATAAAGTACGCCATCGTCTTGGATTTCTTTAAATTGAGTCGGATAAGGGTCAACTGGATATAATAACTTATTGTCTTCTATTATTGTATTGATGAAGTGATTTGACCAATCAACATCGATTTCTATATCATCAGTGTCACCTGAAAATATCAAACGAAATGAAGTTGCAATCTAATGTGTCGTATTTTGGTCATGATGTAGTACAGTAAAAAGGCTTCTTTGGCAGGGATCGCCTTTGTCAAGTTCCCCTGTATATATAACAGTTTGCTTTCAATATATTGCGATTAAAATACGAGCCCCTCGTACTAGAGTATTTATAAGTTTCCACAAAGATATAACACACTGTATATCTGAACTTGAAAACCTTTGTCATTTTTTTCAATAATTTCATAATCTTTAATAATGAAAAGATTCTGAAGGTACCATTTAAATCAGATGTTTGCCACCTGTATCCGGTTTCTGCAACAGCCGAACTTACATACAGCTTTCCATCTGGCCTTGTGTTGAGGGTTATGTCAGACTTGTCATCGAACAAAACGAGCCTTCTAGCTATTCTTGAGTTGTTTGCAACATCTCTAGTTTCCACTAACACGCTATTAAAGTCAAAGAAGACATGTCAGTGCACGTTAAAATATGCAGGTATGTCATAAGTAACAATGAATGTTAAACATATTTTACCTATTATTAATTCCAACCCTGTGTTTAGTATTCCATATTAGCATAATTGGAATATGATAGCATACTTGAAAGATAGAAACGTTTAATTTCCTTAATGCATTTAATATAATATATAGTAAAAAAGATGCAAAGGCCTATAATAGTTGTACATATTCTAATGCAGCAGTCTCAGAGAGTAAATAGTTAGTGTTTGTCAGTAAATGGGTTGTGTTATTCAATAAATACGCAGTGTAGGTCAGTATATAGGTATTGTACGAGTAAATACGAAGTGTGTATAGTTCAGTAAATAGATAACGTATGAATAAACAGATAGCGTGTCTTACGAGTACATGCCGGGCTCCTTTGGTCTAAATGTTGGATAACTAATGTTACCACGGTTGTGTGGTATGGTGACACTATAAACAGGTTTTAATGGTTCTGCTTCAACCAAATTGTTGTAAATATTTGGAGCCAGTTTGAAAACTTCTACGTAATATTCCCAAATGCCTGAAAGCTCATCCGTCCATCCAGACCAATACATTTCTATTGGATCCTATTTAATATGTCAGTATTAACAAATAAATATGAAATACTTTTATTTACAGGAATATAGAAGAATGCAATGCACTTAATTATTAAATATAATTTAAAGGCAAACATTGTAAAAATATGATTTTGATAACAAATTTAAAAAGTTTATGATTTAAGCTGATCCTAAAACATCATGAATAATTTAACATTCTAACATTTGAAATTCCCAATCTTTAAATCTTTTAATCATCAGTAAAATATAAAGCATTGACTGTATAGATTTGTCTAAGAATTAACTCACTTTTGTGAATTCGTTCTTTATTCGAAGTATAGATGGATCTGAGGAAGTGCATGGTTGTATTTCCGTGCAGTGTTTAGGTGCAATGAAGTCGAAGTTGAACTGTACCTTTTAAATAATGGGATTGAATAAGATCAAAATGAAAGGTTTAAGAGTAAAAATATATATTCAAAAACATTTGAAAAGTTAAACATCAAGGTAATGCATCTTACAGAATATTTAAGGTATGATAAATAAATCAACTTCTATTAAAGCTGGATAATTGCTAGAGGAAACCCTTTAAAGTATCGGTGTGAATAACAACCCAATAAGAGCAAAGTAATACAATTCCTGTATATTTTTATACATAAATAAAACCAAGTAGAAATATCTTTAAATTCAATTATAAAAGACTTTATAAAAGAAATTTAAGCAATGAATAACTTCATGACTTAATTGAAACTAGACAAAAAAAAACAATTATATACTTATAACAACGTACACCTGACAGTTTGTCCTGTAACTATTAACTTCATATTTAATCTTTTATTATCCCAATAAGTTGTATGCTATTTACATATAAAATATCCTGTACCAAAAGTTATACCTCTCTTATATCTTGTAATCCCACATAATGTTTGCGAGCATAATTCTTACTCTGATCGTCAATATTGACTAATTGCTGAAATCCTCCAGATGATGACTTGAATTTAACGTTCAACCTATAGAGGAAAAGCTTCAAACTTGTAGTTTACCTTAATAGCAATCACATAATTGATTACCTATGGTGCACGTGCATGTAATACCAGTGATGCACGTGCCTGTAATAGTGGCTTCAAAATTTGCAAGTATATTGATGCAGAAACAAAAATACTAAGAAGATACCGCAACCCTTACCATCCTCAGACAACAATATAATGGACAAGATGAGTAGATTTCATAAGGTTTTCAGGTTAATGACAAAGATCAGTGAGTGCAGCATAATTGTCAGTATAAAGTTTACTCTAGAGAATTGTGGATATTAAACGATTAAGAATTTGGCAGCTATAAAGCACGCCATCATAAGTGAAAAATTACCTACTGAAAGTGTTTTGTTTCTTTAAATGCCAAGTATTTCTTACCAATCTCCATGTTCAATCAGTGTCTTGAACTGATCATCGTCTATTATACAGGTTGCCAGCTCAGTTTCTGGATTGTCCTTTGAGAAACCACCCTCACATTTGTAGGCTTTAAATGATCCTTCGTCTCTAATCGGACCTTCTACATTGTTAAATGAACTTAATCATATATATCATTCATGAAATGTATAAAAATATAATCATAAAAATTCAACATAATGTTTAACATAGGTGAGCTTCAAATGTTTATACATTTCTGAAGGCTATTCTTTAAATGATAAATCATTATCGGTTATTAAAAGAGAAATTTGAGTTTCTAACAGAAACAGGGTCTGTATTTTTTATGCTATTTTAATGTTTTTATGACTTCCGTAAGAACACCGTTTGTCCAGATTTTCCTAATCCTTTCTGGTGATATTCATTGTAGACATGTTTTATTAGGGCTAACATATTTTATTATAACACAAATGACTTACTGTTTCTGGCAACTTTGCTGACATTTGCCTCAATTATACTCTCTACAATTCCAATTTCCGACTCATGAACATATTTTGGCCTTTTGGGGAGGCCTTCAGGAGGATCGAAGAATGTTTCATATTCAAAACGTAGATTGTTAAATCTCTTTTGATTGCTGAAAGAAAAGTGTGGTATCAAATTATTGAAATAAATGAAAAGTTTATTGTCAAAATTGAAATTACAAATACAAATTAATTGATTAAACAAAGAATAGCCATGTCATGCAGAGAAATGTATTTCATATAAGTTTCTGATAAAGATAATTATTTAATCTACCTCCAAATAATTTCCAGTTGACCGGGCTTTTCTTCCTCCAGACCCTCTAATATGAACATAAAATCAACTTTATCATCAGTTCTTCTGATATGAGACAATGTCACGTTACTCCTGCCGACATTTGGGCGTAGTTCTTCACGTGTAGAATCAACTGTGATATAAATTACATGGAATTCATAATTGAACTAATTTAGAAACTTATCATATGGTATTTTCATAGAGAGATTTTTAGAGTGAACATAGAGGACAGAATAACATAAATGATATTAAAGGTAATCTATTCAGTTTTATAACATTCCAGTATCAATGTTTCTAGTCTCACATAAATTATGGATCCTTGAGTAATAAGGGTTTTTATAAAGTTTACTTCCCCGAAATAGGTTTAAGTTCAGAAGGAAAGTTCTATGATAACTACGATATGTACAAGATTGTGGTAACTACTAAATTTTAAATTACCTCATTTTCATACAAAAATATCACATGCAGGCGATAGGGGGGGGGGGGGGTGATTGGTAGTTTGGATTTATCAATGTCATTTGATCAAACAATATATTGTATATGCAACATTTTCAATTTTGTCGTTCAGATTTCCATTTAACTATTTTAGTTTAATTGCATAATAACCTAATATTTATATTGTTTTCTAACTATACTGTTCGCTTTTACTTTTATGTATCGTATGTAAAGATGTAGGTAAATATTACTCACATATTATACAACCATCGTCGACATTCTGACTCCTGAAGCCAGGTTCACATGTACAATCGGTACCCCCTGTGCAGTTTCCAGGATAACAAGGCCGTCTCTAAGAACACGTCACTGTAATATAAAACGTGATAAGTCTAAATCAATTTAATGATCGTTTCATAAGTATTCAAAAAAAAATCTTTTTAACCTAAGTTTGGAAGTTATTTTCACATTCCCTTCTTTAATTGTGGAACTAAACTAATGTTTGATAGTCAGGATGTCGCAATAAAAGAAACATCCGATATAAAGTGACAAACATTTCAGCCATTTAACATAATACAACAACTAAAAAATCATTAAATAAATAATTTACATCTATCTTTGGTCGCAAATAAAAGTAGAAATTCCTTTCAATTCAGTGTTATGAATTATCAATTATAATGATTAGTTTTATTAAATAAAGTTATGGATGGATAAAAACTTACATGAAGCGCAACCCTCTCCCTGAGACCAAGATGGACATGTACATTGGTTGGGCAGTGTACAACTTCCACCATTCTGGCATGACGGGCGACAGATAGCTTCAAAAATAATTGCAGTATAATTTCTATGCAGACTCTTATAATTTCATATGAAAAACAAAATTATCTAGTTATCAAATAAAATGTCTCTGTATCTAAATGAGCCGCGTCACGACAAAACAAACATAGTGCGTTTGCGACAAGCATGGATCCAGACCAGCCTGCTCATCCGCGCAGTCTGATCAGGATCCATGCTGTTCGCTTACAGACCCTATAACAAGTAAATAAACTGATAGCGAACAGCATGGATACAGATCAGACTGCGCGGATGCGGAGGCTGGTCTGGATCCATGCTGGTCGCAAACCCATTATGTTGGTTTTGTCGTGACGCGGCTCAAATCATTTTTGTACAATTGATGTCGTAAATGTACTTTTTAATTCGTTGGATTGTTGCATCACATACTGTGAGTTTTAGTTCAAATTACTGATTCAAAGTTCAAACACGTAGTTTTTTGTACACTTGGACTTCTCGCTCGTTAACCAATGAAAGTGTTACAAAATTATTCAATATAAACATCATGTGTGTAATTTCAGTCATGTAATTTGTTAGATGATAACTGATGGTATCTATGTGTATGCGTGCGTGCATGTGTGTGTGCGTGCTTGCGTGCGTGTGCGTGAATGTGTGTGTCTTTTTTATACTATTGTCTTACTTTACTTCTATTGTCAAATTAACTCATTTTAAAAATACATTCAACATTTTCTGACATTATTATTTTTGTGAAATAGAAAACCTACGTATGATACAGTTTTGGTCTCCGTTGTGACTCCATCCTGGTTGGCACATGTATTGAGTATAGTAAGTAGTCCGCCAGTATCCCCTCCAAAACGAGCATCCCCTAAAACAGCACATGTACTTACATTAAATTAAATCATAGGACAATTGCAATCCAGTTAAACTATATTAAAACAGTAGTATAATAATTGATCAAGTAAACCTAATTCAATGGTATAGAGAATAAAAAGTAATCACATTTACTAAAATTAACTAAAATCGATGCTATTTCGGAGTATATAGATTATTACATGATTGCTAACAAACAGTAACTTACCACCATCTGTACCAGCAAGTACAGTATGACACCCAGTATCTCCTGCTTTTTCTTACTTTTTGAAAATTACTGAAAATTGAAAAGAATTACAATATTAAGACAGAGCTATATCTAACCTCGGTAAGACATAGAGGATATTTGTTTGTTTGTGTGTAAGATGAAATTTAATTTTATTTCATCGAGTGGCCTTTAAAAACAGTATTCTCACGAGTGGGGTAGCCACCAGTGAGAATACTGTTTTTAAAGTTCACGAGATGAAATAAAATTACATCTTACACAACAAACAAACACATTTTCTTTTTATCTTATGCTTAAAAACAAGTTAAAACGGAAAATTCCTTAATATAAACTTTAATATTAAATTTGTTTTCCCCATTGAGAGCCTCATTTAGTCGAATTTCTTATTAAATACAAGAAGTCTTGGGCTGAAAAATAAGTTCGACAATCAACATTAAATGGTGGTGATATTAATCATTTTATTAAAAAAAAATATAAATAATCGCTTGTTTTAATAATAAAAACAAACAATTAATTGTAGTAGGAGAAAAAGTCCAACCATCCATCCATATTTCTGTTACTGCAAATTTATATTAGACCTGGCTTTATGAAATGTAAGCGGTCGCCATTTTTATAAGTTGTGTATTTCACGGGAGGAAAATAATTGTGTTTGATTCAGAGGGATATCATTTGAATTTGTTAGTCATACATCTTTTTTTTAAAGAAAGAAGACTTATTTGAGGATTGTAACAGACAATAAATAAGTGTTGACAGATGTGTAAACATTCAAAAAGCGGCAAGGAAATTGGAAAACTTGGAATTGTTGAAACTTGAAAGGCTGCCTTACGAACGCTGGGTTGTTTACTTATTCTTCGGACTGATGGCTGTCATTGCTTTTCATGATTTAATAAAGCATACGACAGTTATTGCTAGTAAGATACTTAAATATGCCCAAGTGTCATCAAAAGCAGTTTTGCATGTGGAAGGAATGTGTTTTTCAGACTGTAAAAATGAAACAAACAAAAAATAGAGACGATATTTGGTGATTGGTAATTTGAATGAATAGAAGTTAGTTTTCTTGTTTTTATTACTTTTGACATTTAAGCTTTTTATCAATTTCAGCTTTGCTTTTCTCTAAACAGCCTGACATTGTCAGAATTGTCAGCAAAAATAAAATTGAGGTACTACATGGGGAAAATCTTAAAAATGTAGTTTCGTCATTGAAAAGTGTGAAATTAAATTTTCACTGTGAAATTATCAAATATAATTTTCACGGATAAATCAGTAATCCACTGAAAAGCATAAAATAAAACATTATTAATGTCATTCAATTACAGTATGTGACCATATAAACCTGATCATCTGTAGGATTAAAGTGTAATGAAAGCATACAAGTCTACGTTCATTAAATTAATTTAATCCAAGCGAATAAGACCAGCAAGAACCATTATTCAAATAGTATCTAAGATTTATTTGGCATTGCTAACTACGAGAAATATGATCTATATATATATATGCATAAAGTAATCAAATACCTTATGGTTAAACACTGTGAAAATATTTATCTAAGTTTTAAACTTACGTAAATTAATTACAAACAAATGGGCTTCTGTGAATTTCATATCATTTTGTTATTGAAATACACATTTATACCATTAGATCGGATAACAATCGGCCTTTAAAAGTATTTGATTGGCGTCATTTTTCATAACAAAATTACATACATTTTGAATAAAACCCAGCAAGTCGTTAGTAAAAGCTGTCTCAAAATAATTTCCTTAAAGAAATGCCTGTTCTTATGTAATAAAGGACAATAATTTAAAAGTTTACAAGAGCCAAGAGTTCGTATGCATTGCATCACTAATTAATGCTACATGTATGCACCTTTTACATTTCAATTAAATACCTAAAGTACTTAAAGAATTAGGGTCAAACCGAAATCAAAGGGAAATAGCTCAGAAATTATCAAGTGAAGAGTTAAAGTTCCTGCATGTCTTACCAATAGACCTTTTTAGAACATGGTCAGTTGCTATGAAAATCGATCGGAAGTGGTATTTTCTCGCGCATGGGCAAACTGCGTAGGGCAAAAAGAGCATCCCCTTTCATAAAAATATAGTAGAAGATCATAGACAATTCCGAGTTAGTTTAAAGTAAAAAGTAGAAAATCTTAGGAAATAGCTTTTAGCAAAAACATAAAAAAATGTCTTTATAGATTTGTGGCCAAGTTTGCCATAAATAGGCATGGAAAAATTAAATATTCCCTCTTACGACCATGGACCTGACATTGACATTTACATTGTTGTAAAAAAAAATGCGAAAGTTTATTTATTAGCACATAAAGATGTCAACATAATTGTTGTTGAAATATTTTGTGTAAAAATTAAAGAAATTTTAATAATATATATGAAATCGAGGTTAATTATCATTTTGAAAAAAGTCAGAACACGTGGTAATGAAGTTTAAGTTTTCAATTAACCTGATTTTATCCTGTATCCGACGAACGGCCAGATAGACAAGCGGACAGCCGACCAGACGAACAGCCGAGCGGCCAACGTAAAATAAACTTAGGGTGCACTTGATTTCTAGAATATTTCTGTATACTTACTTGAATACTACTTACTTGATGACAGTATTGATATACTTCTGATAATAAATTTAATAAAATGTAAACCCTCGTATGGTAACAATTAAAACATTTTTTGCAAATATTGATATCTAATATGTTAAAACAATAATTATGTAACATATTGCAAATTTTCTTTTGTAACTCAGTATACATAATCCTACTGTTTATTACTTGAATGACAATACGTTATACGGCTGCGAATACGAATATCTTTTTTACTTTTTTAACTGAAGGACATTAATTCACAACAAAAATATAAATTTCGATACTTTCATTCCTCTTTTTGTTTGTCTTCTAAATTATTTCATTTGATTTATTTATTTACTGCCTTATAGAGTTATGAGCACTGTTATATCTTTAATTGGTTTAAACATATTTATTCCCAAAAGTATATAATATTAATAATAATAATAATAATAATAAAATAATAATCATAGTAATAATAATAATAATAAACAAACATACTAATTATGTTTACATAATGGAAAATGATTAGAATGAAAAACAAGTCTTATAGAATTCTTCTCCTTCTTCATCTATTATTATCAATAATATGATTTTTTACTCCATTTTTTTAAGTATTATTCAAGGTACACAGGAGCGCAGCTAATGAAACGGTAAACTTAGTTTCTCTTCGAAATGCAGTATATGCAGACTGACCTTTACAATCAGCGTCTAAAGATTGGAATATAACAAGAAGAAAAAAATAGATAAAATATTTTTTTTATTTTATTTATTTTTTTTTGTTAATTCTACGGTATTTGTAAAATTGTTATATGTATAAATGAAATGGAACTAACAGCAATATGGTAAATAAATATTTGACATACCCCTTCCAAGCATCCGTAAACTCCAGGAAAACAACAAGAAAAACAAACACTGCGACAAAAACACTAATCTTTTTCATTTTTTTACGTTTGCTTCTTTTTTCGACAAGAAGCCTCCGCTGTACTGAGCTTTGGGCGGAAGTTTCTGTAGATATATGCTTTGACAAGGAAGTTTTAGCTTATTGAGGGGATATTTGGTTTTTAGGGTGAATAATAAGAGATAAGATTCAGACACCGCCCCATATTCTTTCACATCTTTTGATGTGTGAGGTTGCAAATTTCACTACTGCGCATAAGCTATCCAGTTTTATGATACATTTGAGCCGCGTCACGACAAAACCAACATAATGGGTTTGCGACCAGCATGGATCCAGACCGCGCAGTCTGATCAGGATCCATGCTGTTCGCTATCAGTTTCTCTACTTGTAAAAGAGTTGGTAAGCACTATGTTAGTTTTGTCATAATGCGGCTCGTTTATTTTCCTTGACACTTACCAGAAGTCGTCACATTTTATTCCAAAACATCACTTTATCAAATTATCGAATTTATTTTAATTTCTTTTTTAATTAATTAATTTAGTCATGTTGCCACAATGATTTTAATTCATTAGTTAACTTCAAATTGCGTGTCACGAAATATATATGACTATACCTTCAGTTTAAATAGGCCTTTAGACGAAAGAAGGGTTGAGACTATAATCCGGGCACGTGGCGGTTACACACGATATTAAAATTTGGCTACATAATTTAATTTTATGTTACGTAATCGTCAACATTAACCAAAAATATCCACCGGTAAATGTTTTGTAAGCGCTCCAACACCATACTTGTTTTTGGTAAAAAAAAACACAGTTGCTTATGCTTCAATAATTTGGTTAAGAATTAACTAAACTCATAAAGTTTATGATTACCAAATTAGTATCGGTACTTATCAAATTACTATTTCTTAGCTCAATTAAGTCGTCATATCACCAATTTTGAATTTCCGGGGTGTACTTAACTTATTTCAAGGTGTATTTAATAAATCTACACATTTTTTTAACTGTTGTATCGTACTATTTATTACTCGAACTTGAATACTGTTTAACAGCCCTAAGATTGTTTATTGACAGCCGTCTGTCATATTCTACTTCATATTCTACTTCATATCTAGTGTCTCGTTTATATATTCTCAACAGACGATACACATACAACGCTTTCTACGGAATGGCATGATACTGTACCAAAGAGATCTGCTTATGCCCGTGAAAGATTTCATTTACTACTGTAGTTCTATTCTGCATTGATTTGTTTGAGCTTTATCAAACAGAATGTCATCCGTGTCTATATCATGTTAAAGGTGATAATTTCAATTCCGAATTAATAATGTTAGACACACATGTATATATTGCTCATCGGGGCTAGCTTACCCTTCCAACAATCTATAAGCAGAAGTGATAAAGCAACCACATTTTGCGACTCTAAACATGGCAGTGCATATATTTTGACGTGACGTTATTTGCGGTACACAAAACATGTATAGTGTAAAGACGCGCGGATAGCGTTGCACTAGAGGCGCGTCAGTGAAAAATGATTCTTTGCACTTTAAACAGTCTTTATCTTGGGTATGTGATATATGTGTTACACTCATTAAATATCATCTATTCATTGAACACATGGAATAAAATATTATGCTCACCAGAATCTCGAATAATATAATTTTATACAACTCGTTCAATAAATTAAGTAATGACGATTTGGCATGTTTGCCAAAGAGTCATGCGCTCTTGTTATTTTGAAATTATTGATTCGAGGACCTCAATCGCATTATAGTAACTTTGCCGGAAATACGGCATATAGACATCGCCGCTAATCTTGGTTGTCGCCCTTTCTACGAAAAAGGACAGTTGTCAATGTAAACAAATATCTGTCATTCAGTTTAACCCTACGATTAACTTACAAAACCAGATAACACAAAATAAATGTGAGAAAATGTTATTTTATTGATGTTTATATTGATAAATGCTCTTTATATTTCTTTGAGAGAATAATGTTTAGTGCCTGATTTTTTTTATAAACTTGTGTACTTGATTGCCTTGAAAAAATAAACGAGGGGTCAGTTTCTCGAAGCTATCGTTAGCATAACGACTGTCGTAAGCCTCTCGTTAAGGTGTTCGTAATTAACTAATGATCCTTAAAATGACCAGTTATTAACGGATGCGCACAAGTTGTCGTATAGCTCTCGTTACTATCACTGTGGCACAGAAGGAAGAATACTTCGAATTTAAAATACACAAAAAATGAGAATTATATCAAATTATTGATAAAAATGATGAACCTACATAAATATGATATTTTATTTTTTTTTCTCTCATATCAAACTTTTTACAGAATTATATTTCGAAAAGTTATCTGTGATGTTATGATTTAATGACATGAAGAAAAATGCATTACGTTACGCTGCAAAAATCAGTACAACAGATAGGCATGAATTATATGGAAATTTTGTTTGTTCAACATAACAGATTGAAATATATTTTGCTCTTGCCAACACCAGCTGTTATATTTTTAATTGCTATATTTTAATTTGTAATACAAAATCCTTTCTTAATCCTTTGTTAAAGATAAAATGAAAATTTATCCATAAATTAACAGAAGATTATATAAACTTAGTGATTATCCAATGAAATTAAATTTTGTAATATAAGACAGTTTATATGGCCCTGTATAAACGGTTGTTTGTAAATATAACCCGAGCCGCCAGGCGTGGTTTTTATTGCAAACAACCGTTTATATACGGTCATATAACCTGTCAGGAATATTTATAACGAATTTATAAAGCTTCGAACTTCCTTTTTAAAGAGTAAGAGTAAGATTTCCAGATCGTAAAAATATATAGAAATTTATCATGTTTCGTGAAAATATCCTATATTTCACTCAAACGAAAAACATCTTAACATTTCTTTAAAACCAAACCCATCGTCGCTTTCGTCATTGTATCATCATCATTATCATAGTAATAATCATTGTCACTGGTATATCACAATCGTTTCTTTTTTTTTTAACTTACATAAGAAAAAAAGAATTCTATATTATTTATCGTGAGACCATTTGCATATACGAGTATATAATTCATTTATTAAGCGTTTACATTGTATACTAAGCTAACTTGAATCTTAATTTATTTTCCTTATATGTGTTTAAATTAACAGACTACTAGTATTCAAAATAGACACTATGACGACTTAGTGTTCGCTATTTATATTCATTTAGTTAGTTGCAATTTCAATATTTCATCCATGAAAGCAACATTTTCAAGTTTGAATCTTGAGAGTATACTTACACCCTGAAACAATATGTTGCTGTAGCCTGATAAAATGAGGGAGGGTAATGAGAAGTCGGTCAGAATAATGGCTTTGACTGAGAAAAGTGTTTAGAATGTCTGACTCCACGGGCAGCCGTTGCTACTCAATCTTCAAGCTCTGCTGTTCTATAGTCGTTTTCCCTCAGTTACTATTCTTGCAGTTTCTATTTTAAGTTTATCCCTCTCAATAAAAATCACGTCAGTTTCATAGGAACTTCCTGCATTTGCAATTCTTATTGGTTTACGTTTTGTTACGACCATTTCTTCCTGCTTTAAATAACACATTGTTCGTGGTATTCAAATGATGACATAATTCAATCGTTAATAACTAACGAGTAAGGAACGAACGATTGCTTAAATATCGCTTTCGAGATACCCGCGCTAGTCTCTCGTTCACCAACCTTCCGTCAATCGTCAGCACGTTCATAAACGCAAATATAACGATAGCTTCGAGATACTAACCCCTGATGTTCACTGGTCTTTTTTCTACCGTCACTCTGAAATCATTCTAGGAATTTCTGAGGGTCATGTTTTGTATTAGTAGAGTAATTTAATGTTGTTTTTCTTTTGAGTTAATAAATCTCCAATGTTAAGCTTTGTTCAGTCAATTAAAATTCGAGATTTCGTTCGGTTCTGAGCATTTGTATTTCCCAAATTGTTGGCCCCGGAAAAATAAAACGCATACGTAAAACATGTAGAATTGGATAAAAACCGCCTAAGCACAAGGATTTAATGTATGTGTTTTGTATTAAATATACATCATGAATCTGTTTTAAAATTTTATGCTATAATAGCGTCAACGCACGTTTATTCGTGTTATAGTCTGCAGAGTCCCGAGGAACGGTTGGTGCCCGTGCCCAGTAGGGCGAGTGCTCCAACAGTTCCGAGGTTATAACACAGAAAAACGTGCGTTAATCCTATATTGAAATTCATCCATAAATTGCTGACTGGGCAATCTAGCGGGACATTCCAAAATAAAATGTAAAAATGCTCTGCTGGAATGCTTAGCTGGCTAAGCCATCTAGCGGGACATTTTTATATATAGTGCAAAATAATGCTGTGCTACAATGATCAACTAACAGAGTAGTATAGTGGAGCATTCTGGCTGAGCAATCTAGCGGAACATTCCAAAATAAAATGTGCTCTGCTGGAATGCTCAGCTGGCTTGACAATATAGTAAGGCATTCCTAAATATAATGTAAAAATGCTCTGATAGAATGCTCATCTGGCTAAGCATTCTAGCGGGGCATTCTTAAAATATAGCATTTGAATGCCGAGCTGGCAGAACAATCTTCCGGGGCATTCTTAAAAAAAGAGTAGAAATAATCAGCTGAAATACTTAGCTGGATGCTGATTCTTAGGCACTCAGATACTTTCAGGAATGTTGGTGCCAATGCAGATAATGACATTTTTCTAGCGACCATCTAGATCATTTTCTTGGTCTGCAACTTATTCTGGGACACACGCAGACTTTCAGGATTTAAATTATGAAATGCTTTACTTCTAGGGACCCTCACATTATTTGATCTCAGACTGATTCTAAGACACTCCAGATTTTCAGGAATTTCTGATGCCAATGCAAATAATGATATTTTTGACTTCTATTAAGCGCTAGACCTCTTTTCAGTCGCACACCAATGGCATTGACTCTGGGGTTTCCCAACAGTCGAAAAAGTCATTATCTGCATTGGCGCTAAACATTCCTGAAAGTCTCCGAGTGCCAAAGAATCAATCGCAGTATACTCTTTATTTAAGAATGACCAGCTAGATTGTTTAGTCAGCTGAGCATTCCGGCATAGCATTTTTTACACTTTAT